TTATCACATGGAAAGTAGTAGCATTGCCTCACTAAGTATTAATAAGAAACATTCGCTGAATAAGGTCAGAAAGTGGAGTCAATTTGATTATCATTATGATGGGGTAGTAGGTGTATAATCTCCCCGCATACGTCTCCCTTTGGGGTCGAAGATGCAGCCCGCTGTAACCTTGACTGGAATTATCAGAGGCTTGCTACCACCACCAACTGGATTCACTCGAACAGTCCATTGGCCTGAGGGTGTGATAAGTAACAACACCTTAGATATGCAACACCTTGTTGTATGTATGACTTGTCGATAACAACACCATCATCCGATATGAGGGCCAACCCAATAGGACGTTCTAATACGGTAGAGTATCCAGCAGAATTGAGGTAACTACATGATGTCAATTATGGTCATCCCTCGAAGGCTCATCACATACCCAACTAGTTTATCATTACGGTAGACGAGTTCAGCACCATGACCCCACCATGGCAGCCTCTTCAGGTCTACATCGATACTATCGTCGATCTGAAGTAGTCCCTGTAGAGCTTCCCAAGGTAAGAAGGAGACCGCTCCACCACCTGTAATGATAACAGCCTCTTCTTGAGGCCCCCACCCTCCTTCTCCTTCATAAGGGCTTCCTTACCAATGAAATCGATGTCTAAGGAGAAACTCGAATCGAACTGATCCTAACTTATGGCAATCACCTGTATTGATTTTACATGCAAATCCCAAGCCAACCTGAAGGACACTTTCCATAGGGGAGAAGTCATGACCATAGTGAAGGAACCGTTTTTCGATTCTTAAAGAGTCGAGCATAGCTAAGGAGCCCACCAATCGCTGAGAATAGACACTACAATGCACCACATCATTAGCCTCGTCACGAATGATGTCATTAATAACCTACTGGCTTGACGCTCCCTCTAGTCATGATACTCTCAAATACCTTACCGACATCATCCTTGTCAATATGGAGCTCCAAACCTAGCTCCCCGACGTAGCTGAGGATTGGACAATCATGAAAGAACGAGGAGGAGGAGGGTATGATAATGATGAACTCACGAAACACGCAGGGCCCGACAGGGCACACCAGCGACGATGAGATCATCCTTAACCATCGATAAAGGTATTGCCGAGTGTAGATCGACATGACCACATAGTGAGGAGAGGAGCTCGAAGCTGTTCGGGCCCATAATTGATAATACCTGACAAGTAGTGGTGAGGTAGGGTATGATGACTAGAGGATTACAGCTATGTCGTTGGTGACGTCTTTAATGATGATACCATTACTGCCTCTTTGAGTTGTTGACCATAGTAAATGGTCTTTTATCATCTCTGGTTGATTGGAGGTAGTAGTAATATAAAAACTATCCTCGCCGAGTCGGCAGACAGTAAAGTCGGCCAACATTCCTCCCAGATCATTAGCCATAGCTGTGTATACTATCGATCCCACAGGTCGGTCGATGTTAGCCGTACATACCCATTGTAGGAGGTCTAGTGCACCATGACCTTTAACTATCAACTTCCCAAAGGAGGACATATCGATAACACCAACATGGTGTCGTATAGCCCTTGCCTCATCCTTCATAGCCTCGAACCACTGAGTCGACCCCAAAGCCCACGAATAAGGCTGGCTCGATAAGGGCTCAGCATTAGTTGGAGAGAGGTAGTAAGCTGCTCTTTCCCAACCAAAACCTTCAAAAAAGCGTGCACCATACTCCACATGTTGTTCATGTAACGGTAATAGACGTCGATTACGCCCACTTTGGAGTTGCATATAAGGGTAATGAACACCATACCTTCAAGATTGGTCGTCATCATCACTGTAGCAGGAGAGGTAATCACATGTGGGGTAAGCTTACATGATGCCATACTCCTCAGCTGCTCTATCCTCACACCATTCCTTATCCTCAGCTAGGGATGGATACCAACGATTCATATCAGCTGCTACAAAGTCGTCTTTAAAAGTCCTAGGATAACCATAAAGGACCCATTCAGCATTCGCGAGCCCAGCACCAGCACCACATTGTATACCCTGGGAATTGAACCCGGTACCTGTTGTGGGCCTTATGAGTATTAGGCACGAGTAGTAGTACATATATGAACATTATCAGTTCCCAATAGTCTCCCCATAAGAGGTGCTGTATCACAGCTATGGGTATCAGGACCATGCAACCAACGTTTAATACCGATCTCTTGCAGGGCAGGAATGGTCTCCAGGGCATCTACAGTGATGATGATGATAATAGTGATGCCAGAGTATACCTACGCTCAAGCCACTCCCCTGCCTTATCGATACTCTCTGGGAAGACCTCGTGGGATATATGTCGTGGAGCCTAGGGAGGAGCATCCAAGAGTGAGGTCAGGGACCTTGCTGTACCCATCCGGAAGCATTCCTTTCCTTAACATCTGCTGGGAAGTGGACTTCAGGATGGGACTCGAACACACCAACCATGAAGCCACCAACCTAAGGGATGATAATATTGCAGTAGTAGTAATAGGGCACTGTGATGAATATTACTAACCTCAGGTTTAAGGTAGAACTTATAGAGGTAGTCCCTGACAACAGGTAGACGGTTCGATACTCCTTCGAGTGTATCGAATACCACATACCTATTCAGCACCACCATTGTAGTAGCTTACCATTGAGCAGCTTACTGATGTGGTACTACTGCTGCTGGTACGATATCACCTAGACCCAACTCCCTTACTATACCTTTAGTCCATTGACCTGACAGGCATAGTACATACTACAATCTATTGCACTTAATCTACCTGCACATATAATGATGTTATTAAACTCTACCAGAGTGCCATCCTCAAGTTCAGCCGTGTGGGCTCGACGAGCATCCCTCGCAATACGACGGATCGCAGTCCTCTCTAGTAGATGCGCCCCTTGGGCTCTGGCTCGAGCTGAGAGGGGGAGTAGTAGATAATACAGCCAGAGTAGTAGTACTAGCCATCGCCATGGTAACATCTGCTGGGTTAACGATACCATCCTCTGGTGTATAAATGCCTCCATAGATTCCAGTGGTATCCAGATAGGGGTGGATCTAATGATAGTGGTAATAGGAAGACGACGACGACGACGACGACGACGAGCAGCAGCAGCAGTCTTGTAGTGGTAGTAATAGTAGGATGAGCACCTCTTTAATCCTGTCTGAATCACACAACTCGTAGGGTATACCCAATGATTCCGATATATTAGCCATCTGTAGTAATTGTGTCCATAGATCTACCAACAATCACTCATGCACAATACCGTAATGTTAGCTACCTTCAGTTCGGGCTATGCCTAGACTCCCCGTCTTAGCCCAACCTACTCCCTCATCAAAGGTCTTATATAGCTTATGGCCCTCTCTAGCCATGTTGGCGATGCATCTACAACAAGATGGTGTTCTTAGTGGTGGTGGTGTTAGTAGTATTCTAACTACTACTACTTAACGCCCTTGAGGGCAGTCTGAAGACCGGCAGCATGCCAGGTGGTACCAGAGGTAAGAGTATTCTGTTCAAGAAGGAGGACTCTATGTGATGGTCCAGCAATACGAGATAACTGATATGCTGTAGCAACCCCTATGATGCCACCTGTAAGTACTCTATATAGTACAGGGGGCAGTACTAGAGGCAAACTACCTCCAACAATGAGAGTATCTACCTCCTTTGGTACACCAGAGGATACCGAGGAGGCGGAGGAGAGGCCTCTAATATTCACTGATCGAGTACCAGCAACAACCGAACGTACAAGCATTATCAAAACAAGAACTGTACTGAGTAATAGGGAGTCACCAACACCGAAGTACTGTCTCAAACAGTGAGCTGCTATACCATCACAAGTCGAACGGTTCATAAGGTCACGGATCTAGCAAATAAGGAACTCCTATCCGTGGATGAGGACCCCAACTGTACAAACCGAGCTTGCTGATATAATTGCACAATTTTGTATAAACAATTCATTCAAGTTGCTTTTCCATCCAGGGATACTGTTGCTCAATTTGCCGCCTGTTACTATCCCCCACTTGATGCTATCAACTGGAAGAAGGCGTTAAAGATCTTTCATATGTTATAGCCAGGCACGAATACTCTCTATACAACGATGAGTGAATGGTTGCACCCTCGAGTTACTAGACTTGCTCTCTTCCTCCTCCTCTTCCTACTACTATGTTAGAGAGTTGTCACTATATTGACTACCATCACTAACCCAAGAGTAGACATGTAAGCAGTCGGGAAAGCTAGTATTTAATATTTCTAATCAGACCTGAACCTAGACCAAAGACCTCATTCACTAGCCCGCAACCAGAAGCTATCTCCGATGCATGCTGGGGTAGTATGCTCTTCTTCCAACTATTGGAGGGGGAGGAATGTAGTATTAAAAATGCCCACATAGGCTGTCTAAGCAACCATCTGAGTAGTTGTATCGGGTCGATCACCATCTCGGGTAGAAGAAGGAGATCGCGTAAAAACGATAGGACAAAGGTAGCAAAGTCGACACGTCTACTATCCTCATTAGATAACTGTATGATGCCCATTGTGTTGAGTAATACCACATGATCAAGCTGGAGTAGGGCTATATTCATGAGGTCCATAATGATATCCTTCTTGCTACTACTTCGACTAAGACGACGAGCATATAAGATACTAAACTCCTTACCCAATTTCCCCACACTTAGGGCTGTCTTCAGTGTATCAGATATGACCCCATAACGTTGGTTTGGGCTACCTTTAAATTGACGCCACCAACAATACATGATAACAGTACGGAGCATAGCATCCCTGGTATCATCACGGGAAAGGTAAAGTAGAGTAGGGGAAGGGGTCACGAGGACGGCGTTTACCATTGATACACTAAGGCTAGACAATCACAGACGACGTCGTTATCTATGGAGATAATGAACATCATCCTGCTCTGACTGTCCCTTGTATATGCGTTCATGTCCCCGTGACATGTCCCCGTGTCTCAAGAGCACTATTAAGCTCGGAAACGGTGGAATACATGAATGATCATCATCATCATGGTAGAGGTTCGAACGGTTGTGAACCCTGCTGTCCCTGCTTCCCCTCATCACCATAACACATCTCACTCTTCCAATACGTACTCTGACTATCTCTAAATACTTCCATAGCCTTGTCATGAGCTCGATAGAAGCCATGCTTACTAGCACTGTACGTAGCCGTCCTGGGTCTAAAGATGGATCTATCCCCTAGCCGGTCGTCGTCGTAGCCATTGTGATGACTGACCTTCCATTCTGCCAATAACTTACTGCCCATCCCTGCATCCTCTCATCCCACATAATAGAATCATTACTACTCTTATGAGAGGGACGAGCATGGACTCTACCACTACCCTTCAACTCTTCATAGAACTTCTTGGCTTCCTCCTTTGACCATTTGATACCAAACTTCTTTACCTATTCAGAGGTCTCGGGTTCAATCCGTGCTGCCAGCATCTTACCGGGAAAGGCTTAGCATTGAGTTTCTCATGTTCATACCAATAAACTTCCCAACACTCAGAATAATCATCCCATCGTATGTTAGGATCTGGACTGTCGTAATAGTCATCATCCAGTGTTACCTATCACTAACTGTCTAAATGTAACATCTCATTACACTACGATCGTCTACATTCAATAACAGCACAAGTTCCGAACATAACGTTCGAGCAGCAGATCTAATATCTCTATTCATATAGCTACCTACTTACCACCTACTACTGGCTCTATAACTCACTACTTCATTGCTTACTTCGATACATTCATTACAAACTGCTACAAGGACTCCAATCAGTAATCAGTGCTAGCCCGAATGTGGAACTTCAGATGATGATGATGATTAATCGCCTCTCTCGTGTACCTCCTTTATTCTCTCCAAATGAACTGGTTGATATCTATTTGCATTAGCTGAACGGAAACGATTACCGATACCCCAACGGAAGACTCGCTGATGAACTCCTTCTGTTTTAATATAATCTGATTTACGTAAGACTTTACCACAATACCGAATTGGACTTATCCTCATCATAATAATAATGATCCAAGAACTGACAACTGGTAACAGACAGATAGGACAATACTGACCCCATCCTTCCGCAATGATATTCACCTCCCTAAGTTATTGATTATTATTATTATTATCAACACAATAGGTAATAGTCTGAGAGGTTGATAAACTATGGTGATGGTTTGGCGTATCGAGAGGGGGGATTTGATACGTGCAACTCGGCGTAGTAACTTCGCCATTGATCATCGTACTGAGTAGAATAGCAATTATCAACATGATCATCATCATGAGTACCACCCTAGTGTAGTACTACTACTACCTCGCCCTTCTCGGCATCAGCCTCATCTTGCATTCGACTGTACTGGGTGGAGGGTGTACCCAAATCACCTGTTATAGTAGTAGTTATAGGTAAGCCAACAATAACAGTCCAAGAAGAGCATCCTCCTACCCTCCCCAATCTTTGGATATTCCTTAATCTTGATAGTTCCATTATCACCAACCTCCACGACTGAGCAATACATCCATCAATTTCGTGGCGCGCGGTAGTCATGTTATGATCATACTACCTTCACCCTTCATGATATCCTTCAGCTTAACTATAGCATAATGTATCGGTACAGGCATACCATACAGCATTAGCCGACGCCACATAAGGGGAGGCTCTTCACTCGACTTTGGCTCATCATCATCATCATCTATTGGCATCAATTCCACATAGCATTGTGAGCGTCGACGGAGATCCTGAATGATGATAATGATGATAATATGGTATCGGGTTCCAACCTATTATCATCATCCATCCTTACCTGCATCGTTCGATCAGTGAGGAGCTCTGCTCTATCAGCTGGTACATCTACATAATACTCGACTGGTGTATCGAGAGGTGTGTCCCGAACTGAGGAGGAAGAAAGGGCAGTTGATGACCTACCCCAGCCCCATGATCATTACGTGGTGCACAGGCATCTACCGCTTCAGGTGAATCGAAGTGGGACACAGCTACAGCAGCAGCAGTAGTGAGACCACTGACCTCTACACGAGGTAAGCTAACAAGAAGAGAATGCCTAATTACAATAACCTATCGCCTACCCAGAGGAAGGGGACGACGATGGTAGAGGTGGAGCACCCATTCGATAATCTTCTTCTACCCAACGTGGGTTCAATGCCTAAGTGAGTGATAGTAAACCTTATTATTAATACAGGATCCAAGTACCCTATCTTCTGCTTCTGGATTCTTAGGTGGTGGTACTGGTAAGGCATCTGGTAACCTAGAGAGTACTCGAGCAAGTCGTACTAATGCATCATCAACTCTATCGGCTGAGGGTGACCATACCAGACATTTCCTAATCATCACAAAGGTGTAATACTATTGTTCCACGCGTAGATATGATTACTTAGGTTGAGCTGGTCTATCATCTACAGATACCAGCTCGATAGAAGCACCGGATTCCTCACGTAAATCGGCAAGCATCCGACCTCGTCTGCCGATCACCAAACCACAATGATCATCCAATATATCAAAAGATACCTAAACGTCACCGCGTCATACCGAAATTACCCGAAATAGCAGCAGTAGTAGCAATGAGTACCAAGTTAGGCTTATCCACATTGGACAAGGACTCTGGGTTGGCCTCATATGCACTATGGTGATTCATCATCGATTGTGGTAAGGGAGGTGGTAGCAGCTCTGAAGGGACGTTAGATGGAGGAGGGGGTAGTGGAGTAGGAGGAGGAGGAAGGCATCCTCCTTGCATGTCTGGTAGAGGATGACGGTATCGGAATAGGTCCCTACATGAGGTACTACTCGAACGGATATTACTACCACATTACTATTACTACCCAATCCTTTGCATAGCCTCATATACACCATACTTTGGCCCTCTAACATGAACATGGGTGGTATTAGTCGATGGATCTCTCAGAGGATCATCATCACGAACAGCAACACTTATCTCAACCCCACATTGGGATTCTAGACTCTGATTATCGAAAGGAGTGGTATTACTACTACTCATGTATATATCCTACCCTAACAGTATTGCCTCGTACTCCTACTACTAGACCAGCTCTATCGAGAGGTACGGGTAGATTCACTGCCAAACTAGGTACTACAGGGTCGATCGTCTCGAACACCAAGTCCTGAACAAGATCACCACATCCCACTACTACTAGGGCAGCATCGACAAGCACCAAGACGTCGATTTGGCAATACCAAACTAATCAACACTTCTATATTGAGCTATACCATAAAGAATGTAAAGTAATAATATGTTGGTATGACCACCTTCCAAGAGTATCCATCAGGTCCCCTAGTAGGTGGACCAGGATCGGCATCTGCTGTTAGTGGTGGTGGCATGAATGGTGGAGGCATTGGTGGTGAGTACCTGCTACTGCTGCTCTAATACTATGACTAGTACCTTATGACTACTTATCACCTAGTATCCCCACCAACCATCATCTCAACAACTTCACCAGGATAGGGTCGCTTGCGTGTGGGTAGTAAGTTGAGAGGTATCGGTCCTTCTTCTTGTTGTTCACCATACATTATGGGTACTGATAATCTACAATGACTGAAGCCCTCCTCAAGAATACAAAGCTGTTGATAGTAGGTCTTTAGACAAGTAGTAACGAGAAACCTTTACAGTGTACTGTACAGGAGAGAAGATGGCTTCTTGTCAAGACATACGTCCACTATCGTCCCTTGTAACCTCTATTGCAGCTTCCTTAGTACAACCTAAGGATACCACCACATGATGATAACGCTAAACACACCCTCTACAAGTTGTATGATGCGGAGGGGACATGGGAAAAGATAGTCGATAATACATGCATGTAATACCATACCACTCCATTATCACATCGCGCCTACATAATACCCAACGCATGACCCGAACAAGCCTTTATGATGAGGACTTCCCATCCTGATTACTCTGTAGATCCTCCTGTGCCTTCCTCTCAGTACAGAATAGTTGATGCTGGCCCAAAGCTCTGCTATCCACAAACTCTCTACCACATGTATTACACTCGAAGATCTCCTCATCTATAGGCTTTAACATACCCAAATGTATGTCTATATTGCCACCATTCTTTTCCCCTTCCATCAAACGATAACCACATATTCTGCATACCTCTCCCGTCCCTCGTAATGCAACACTTTCACTCTTCCTTCCTAGATCCACTCCTGAGTGCTTAGCCGCTCTATGTTGATTGAGACCATCCTCGTCTCGACATTCTATACCACACGCTGGACACTTCACACGACCTCTCCTATCCTTATACAGACCCAATTCATGTACTTGACGATTATGGGTAAATAATCCCTGACTTGTCGTAAAACGTTTGTTACAAATTTCACACACATAATCTCCCGCTTTTTTCCGTGCTTTCTTCATCGGAGATTCTCTAATATCATCTCCACTAAGGTCGCTTCGCTCCGCCTTATCCCCATCTTTTTCCAATACATACAATGTGGAGAACATGCTTTCCACCTCAGCATCGTTACCCCCAGGTACCCATTGCCTCTGTGTTTGATGATTCTTGAACGTTTGATTAGTCTTATTCCGTACCATTCTGAAGGATGGGAATAATTCCAAAGGGAATGGTCGAGGTTTGGTAAGTAGATGTAAACCATTGAGGGATGCCGACTTAATAAGATTCCATCGTTTAGCCTGACCCTCTACCAAACAGAGAAGGATTCTACCCTTCTCATGGAGAGATCGTCTGAGATAATCAATCGTACAAGAAAGGGGTTACTACTTCTCAGCAATACTCACCTTGCGGAGTGAGCAAAGTGTGCCATGAGGACTTCATGCAACTTAGCATCTTCAACACCCAAATGAGGATGATTCCATATAATAACATCAAAGAGCTGAAAGTTGGAAATGATGATATTCTCATAGCGGCTGATTCGTCCTTACTACCTCTCCTTGCATCTGTTCAGGTAAGCGTACAGCATCAACACCATGTCGTACTGGTATGTTATACCCTCGTAGTATATCCAGATTAGTCTCCACTGGCCGACCATACTTCTTATAGAGCTCCTCAATAGTATCGAATGATGTACATAACAAGCGGACCTTAGAGTCATCAGGGTCTATTCCAAGGTAACTGGACAATACTGCCGCATGCCGCCTGAACAACAGATATCTGATATACCTGATGCCGCTCAGAGAGGCATAATCTACGTCACAATTCCCTACAATACGTGTACAAGAATAGTATTGTAAGCTTCAACATTCCCAACATCTCTCGACATGCCCTCCTCACTACTACTTCTCCTCTGAGCTATGCAGTGCTGCTCCTAATGATGCTGAGAATGAGAAATCACCATCGCCGAGGATGAGTACGGTCTTGGTGGCCATAAGAGGGTGAACTCCTAATGATAGATCACCTCGAGAGCATATACCAAACCGGAGGCATCCCATGAACCAGTGGTCCCTGGTTCAATCCCTGCCCTCATCTGATTTCCCAAGTGTATACTTCCGTCTTCCGCGTGTATATATTTGGATGAGATGTAGATAAACTCAAGAGAGTGAGATAAGAAACAATAATCACGTCATCGTAGTAGTGCTGTGTTGGTCTGCTGCTGAGCCGAATGCCTTCATCAGGGGGTTTACTACTTTCTGTAGATCCTCTAATCGTCTGAAGATGATGGATTTCGATGCCTACGACACTTGATATCACACTTACTGATCAACCAATTTATGCAACTTCTCACGAGACTCCAAATCCTTAGCAGAATCCTCCCTCTCCTTGCTTCTAAACCACAATAAGAAGCCAATAAGATACCCTCTCCCATGATGATGATGATGATGATGATGAAGGTATCCTTTCCTATACTACAATTCGTCCAATGAGCCTTCCAGTTCCTGTCGAGCTTTCAATTCAGCTGATAGGTTCCTGTCAATCTCATCAAAACTCTTCGTCGAAGGAAACGTCTGATATTCAAATTATGCACCACAGTCATAATCAAATACGAGCCCGACGACCGGGATTTGAACTCGGGACCTCCCGATTATGACCTCTCCCATTCCCTCCACTAACTTGGACATATCGTTCATTACAGGATGTCCAGTGGCCGAGATAACTTGTTCGTAGAGGGACTCTTGGAAAGCTGTTTTCTCTTTAGCCTGAATACCCCACTAAAATGATCATCACATCTGTGGAATCCATCCTACCATGATGGACTGATGTAATTGAGTATCCACTGCTTTACTGATAGCCTCCTCATCTACCATAGCTATTGCCCTCAACTTACGATGATTACGCCTTATCTTCTCCAACTGCATTAGGATATCACAAACCTACCACATAACTACATCATCATGAGGACAGCGGATGATCGAGAACGACAATAAAAGTATATCAGGCCCAGGGAGCTCATACCTTTTCCTCCGGCACTCCTTCTCCTATACTCCGCATGGTCTCAATATCAACTAATAGATTACTCAACACTCCAAGATCGTCCCGGGCATCATCAAACAGTTGCTGCCCTCCGGACTCATGCTTCCCCTCATCCTTCATATCTACTTCAACCTTCGATTCAACGCTCATTACAAGGATGGACACTGCCCGAGTATTCACCTGTCTACTAACACAATAAGAGGTTGACAGAAATGATGCAACCGTGAGTAATAAACGTGAGAATGTATACATTAACGATTACTCGACCAATAGGCGATGGTAGTACCTAACCCGATTCCACTACTCCGAAAACACCTACCGTGGGAATAGAACCCACGCCTTTCCGGTTATTACTTGCGTCCGCTACCCTCCAACCCACTTCGGCATCTAAGTCATCGCCAGCGGTATTATTAGTAATATGCAATACGTTTCCGAGGCCCAACTCAACCAAAGAATGGCGCTTCATTTTACGACCATTAATATAACTACCACTCTTACCTAAACGAGATATCCCTACCTTCATCACATTTTCATAATAGAGCAGGATATACATCACAAAATGCCCCTCTCGAGTGCTTTCCCTTTATTACTCAGGTCTCGGGCTGTCAATATCAATTGAGGTTTTTGATTTTCAAGTAACTAAATAAAGCCTAGGGTCCATATCACGTACACAGGCACATACTTTAGCCTTGAGGCTGACCATTAAATGTCGTTTACTACAAGATTCGTGGGCGCAGGTTACAACATTACCACCACTACCGCTACGTTGACGACCTGATATCAGTCTTACTAGCTACTCATGAGGATCCTTTACCTATGAGTATATCTGGCTTATCCCGTGTAAGAATCCTTTCTATTTCCGGACACCTCCCATCAGAGCCCCGTAATGGTACCAGGTGTACCTTATGATAGCGGAGTTTATGCCAAAGGGCCATGACGAGGTCTACCATCATCGCCTTTTGGCGTTCCTCTTCGATATGTGAAGTTGAAAATGCATTCATCTGACAACGAGGATCCTCTGCGATAAACTCATCGTCGATTATTATTATTAATTCAAGGATGCTCCCCCCAGTACTTTATCAGATGTATTGTCCGATCCAGTAGTAGCAGAAGTACTAGTCTTTTGCGGACTATTCTTCCCCATAGGTGCATGCCGTTGTTCATGAGTAATACCATCATCTATCGGCATGTGAGCTGGTTGTACACCATGCTCAGGCTGAACAACAACAGCAACACATACCCTGGGATAACAAGCACCACCACAAGTCTATACGAAATCTCGTCCATCCATAGAGCTCCTCTCTATAACGATAATCACCACTATACTACCACAGGGTCGCCAGCATTGGTAGGTGATCTCGATCCCTCAGTAGGAGTAGGGAGTATATCCTCCTCAGTGGCATCCCCCGTCTCTGGACCCTCAATACGTGGCCGTTTTGCATCTGGACTCCTCACTATATAGGGTATTACTTTCCATTGACCCGATTCAGGATCGTAGGTTGGTACCTAATAATGGTGGACATCATGATATCGTAATAACTAGTTCTACTATGGGTAAGCTTAGATGTCGGAGTTGTTGTAATGATCTAGGTTGGTGGCGTGCTATACTCGTAGGATGAGTCATCGTGGGAGTATTACAAGGGCTGCTTACCATAACAATGATCAATGCTCAGCATTAGCTGTCTATTACGCTCCTAGACGCTCTCACAAGATTCTGTCTCGAGAAGGTCGAATGATAACCTTATTTATGTTTTTGCAGTACATAAGCTGGGATGTTCTTAAGAGTAGGATAATACAAGGATGTTCTTAAGAGTAGGATAATACAAGGATGTTCTTAAGAGTAGGATAATACAAGGATGTTCTTAAGAGTAGGATAATACAAGGATGTTCTTAAGAGTAGGATAATACAAGGATGTTCTTAAGAGTAGGATAATACAAGGATGTTCTTAAGAGTAGGATAATACAAGGATGTTCTTAAGAGTAGGATAATACAAGGATGTTCTTAAGAGTAGGTTATAATACAAGGATGTTCTTAAGAGTAGGATAATACAAGGATGTTCTTAAGAGTAGGATAATACAAGGATGTTCTTAAGAGTAGGATAATACAAGGATGTTCTTAAGAGTAGGATAATACAAGGATGTTCTTAAGAGTAGGATAATACAAGGATGTTCTTAAGAGTAGGATAATACAAGGATGTTCTTAAGAGTAGGATAATACAAGGATGTTCTTAAGAGTAGGATAATACAAGGATGTTCTTAAGAGTAGGATAATACAAGGATGTGTGACATGGTAGGTTATACGAGTCACAAGTGAAACGTTCACGATAAGGTGACGGACAATGAGTTATGGTCTGCGCCGTAGACTCTACGGCATGGTGTTGTGTGAACGTGTCACCTCCTTCACTACATGCGCTGTTTATAATCGATCAGTATGGCGAGCGAGAAACTAAATCTGCGCAGTTTGAGCTGGCAGCGCAACTTGAGCGTAATCTGGTGAGGTACCAGTTCGTAGAGCAGTCTTGATTAACGTATTGAATATGAGCTTAAGCCCTTCACCGTCCCCCTCCGACACCATACTATTCCCTCATCACTCTGAGGGCCACGAAGCTGGTCCGGCTATACCTGCAGCTCCACTACAACCCCAACCGCAACTACCGATTATTCCGGTATTGTCAATGTCTGAGAGGATTCCCACACCCCAGCAACAGCAGCAGCAGCAGCATTCGGTACTTCCTGGTCGATCTCAAGGGTCTATTCTACCATCACCTTCCACCTCTTCCCAACAGCAATCGCTTGTATCAACAGCAGCTCAGATGGCTGCTTTTATGAATGAGCGTACTCGGTATTTGGCCACTCTACAACAGAAGTATCAACGACCGTCACTACCAACCCCTAAGGTTGAGTATCAACAGCCATTGGTTCGATCTGACCCTCCGAGACCGCAACAACAACGTCTAGAGTTCCCAGTCTTCACTGACCCGACTGATCTGGCTGCCAAGCTGTTCAAGGATGAAGGTTCTTTCAGGAGGCTCCATATGGGCTCTCGTCGTCGTGACAGTCGCTGCTCTCTACACCGATTGCTAGGGAGGGCTTGCAAGGGTAGGGGGACTCAAGTTGTCACAGAATGCGAGTTCAAGGCCAACTATGGTGTATGGACCCTCGCCGGTCTGGACCGCATCAAGAGTCTCCGGTCGAAGGGTTACACAAGCGCTCAAATATATAGCGCAGTTGAAGCAGCAGCTGGTATTGCACTACCAATGCTTGAGAGGCTTCAATATCTTGAAGAAGCTCCTGGTAGTCGGATCGCTAAGGCATTGACATTGCCAGGTAAGGCGGCGAGTGGTAATGCCGTAAAGCATCACAGAGGCCCCACCAAGGCCGAACTCATGGCTATATGGGCGATGTTAGAGGTACGTCATCTGAATGAGAGGGCAAGCGAAAGTGCGCTGTGAATCTTCTTGTGACTTACGGTAAGCCGTATATCTCGCTTGCTGCGATAATGAGTAATGTATAATGTAGCTGTATTATCTCCGTATTACTCGCTGGATAGTATCCAGTACTCAACTGTAATCAATACTCATAACTCAACTTCAACAACCATACATAAGCAGCTTGTGTTCACAGTCCCGGAAGATAATCGATGAAGGGCTGTAATTGGTATGCGAGAATTGTGCCCGGGTTCCTCTCTAGGAACGTAGTCACATTCCAATATTGAAGTTTGGTCAACAACTTCAAGACTCATTGAGAAGTGGTCGATACAATCAACGTTAGCTTGGATGACGAGTAGCGGGTAATGTAGCTGCACTATCTTCGTAGGAATGTTGTCCACTCTAAGTCATAACCGACACTGGTGTAACACAAGACATGTTTACAAAGAGGATAGATAACTTTCACTCACTCGAGTCCACCACAGCGAGTGAATGTGAAGTCTTACGGTATACAGTATACCGTATACTACTTCGGAAGGTAGTTTCGGAAATTTGGAAGCCGAGAGGATGCGTGATCTCTGGGTTACTATGCGCCCGCTTCGTCCCCATGATGAGTGCTGTATGCGCACTCCGTGACCTGAGTTCTTACGGGCTGTAGGCTGCGGGCTCAATGAGCTTCTTGAAATCTCAGAATGCCCTTATAGTACTCGTAGGGAAACCCACAGTTATCTGCGAGTACAATCTCCTGCACAATATTTAGCTGACGTTCGCTGGCGAGCGCTAGACGAACCTCCGCCGACAGACGTTCTACCGTTTGCACGACTACCGAGTAGCCACTACTCCTTTCATGGTTCGTTCGAATTTGCGGAGTTTCCTGGACTGGCAACATGATCTACGCCCTGGGACGCGCTCCATCAATGTCTTCATTTCTCTCGAGATCTGCTGGCTGAATTCCTGGAGGTAGTCAATCCCCCACATCACTACACTCATCTCGGAATTTGAGTCTATACGTTCCTATCAAGTTCTAACAATCGCCAACCCCGCTTCCTCCATGGAGGCAGTGCTAGCTGACCGGTGATTATTCCTACCTACCTTTCGTGAAGATAACCATCTCGTCGTCGGCCAACTCGACGGAGGATATCAACCTGTTGACACCTGGTACCGATGCCTCTCGACTCGACTCGGCTCTCGAAAGTATGATACGTCGACCACAGAGTTAGACTGCTTGTTCCCTTCGAGCGGAGTGTGATAAACTCCTCTCCTCTGTAACAGTTGGGGAAGCCTCGGTCTCTAAGCATATCTTCTAACTTCTCGAGCCTTGCAATGTACAGGCAGTTTTGGGGGCACTCGTCGACAACGACCCAGTCTCTGTCCCTAATGCAACCGCGCAGCCCGCATAGAACCCCGATTCCACGGAACCGTCGTAATACAACGCCACCGGATCTATCAAGCGTTCTCCGGAAGACTACGTTCATAAGGCTTTATGCAGAGCCGAAGCTGTTTGAGAATCGACTAACCTGGAGAGAGTAGCGCTCTCATGGCCATAACAACATTGCCTTTTGAGCTTGCGGAGTCCACGCGAGGCCGCACAAAGATCTGCCCGGACAGTCGCCGAATGCGAACTCGCAAGCTCCCAATGGAGCTCTCTGGAGCCAGATAACCCAGCCCGCGACGGTCCACTGACTTAATGCGCCAAGGCCGACGACACAGTCGGAGAGTCAACACCAGCGAGTCACATGGGCCATCCGTGGCCATGGATACGAGGGTATCCCATTGGGACAGTCCCCCGTCAGGAATTCATCCAAGCCCTTGATGGTCTCATACTCGGACTGGAGGCCACAGCCGTCCAACAGGTCTTCATCAAAGCAATCTTGTCCATGCCGGGATCGGAGGATGTATTGGCGGTGGACCGATCGCTATGGGTTCTGGGCATACAACAACAGAGGAGACAAGGAGATCATCTCTGAGCATGAAGTGACTATTCACCTCTAATTCCATGTTCCTTCCACTGTCTCCATTGGAAAACACAAAATCATTCCTTAGATCAATAGCCTTCATCCGAATGGGTTACACTGATGTCACATAGCTCTGTTCGACACACTGCCTCACTAACGTCGTGCTTGTATATGCCGTTGGGCCAGGGAAAACCATAACTGGGGTATAACATAATCCAGGGAGCTTCATCATCGATATCTCACCTGTGACCATATATATGCAATGCCTTATTCTCAGCACTATATCGTATCCTGCCTCCTCCCTGCATGAACATGTCTACTCAACACAATTCGGCTCAACAGACCTACCAGAATCCTCCATCGTAGCCCAGCAGCCTCTAGCTCCTCTATAGTCGGGGAGGCCGAGTCTTGATGGTACTCAGCCCAAGTGAGGCCCCGTACCAAATGCCGACATTTACCCTCCTCATCGGGGTCGTCAACTTCCATCAAAACATACCTTCGACAAGACCTCATACTAAATTAATCAGTGCGTACGGCTTGCTTAAAAGAATTATCCACACCCCAATCAAATGCCCCTCCATCGAACTCTACTCCCGGTATCGTATTATAGGCTTCCGTCGCAATCCTGAAACTCGAATTCAACGGCGACGATAAGTGAGGTCGCACTTCCCAAACAAATCAGCATCCTCCCCTGCATCGGGACTTATGGTCTTACCCGACACAGCAGCTCTTTCCCTAATAGCTGCCGCAGCCGCCTGGTCAGAGGCACTAAAATACATTCATAGGTGGAGAAATGATAGTACTGGCTTACTTGGTGGTTGGTCCCTTTATCGTTTCATGAGCGGACATTATATGTGGTGTTAAACGCACTGCTGTCGTGTAAAACCTTACATCGCTCGATAAGCTACAGATCGATCGATACAGCAGCTTCATCATTGTCTCCAATAAAAAGATCTGCCTTCCTAACCTCAATGCGATAACATAAAAACCAGTATCGACTATTCGCAACAGCACTTTCACGCGTGGGGTTCACAAAACCATATAACCGTTGAATGCCACTGTCAGGCCCCTCAGCCCCTTCGCAGTCGAAGCCTTCAACACTAGGTTGAATTCAAGTCCGTAGGCATTGAAAATGAGTATGCTTTGCAACATGAGCAATAGGAGTATGGTGACGTGCATTATAGGATGATATTTGATGATTACATATCGAATTCGAGGAGACGACACGTAGCTGTTGGTCCCCTTCCGATACGAGCCAGAGTACCGTTTTGAACCTTAACATCAACAGAAGTTCACCAACCATCACATTAGCGTAGTAATAGGATTATCACCAGATTATCAATGAGCTTGCCAACGTCATGCAGGTCCAAGGCATCAGCCGTTCCTTCATGATGTCCACCTCCCTCATCATGGTGTTGCATCGAGCTTACCAACTGCTCGAATACCTTCTGTCGTAGTATATCGTATTTGAGCGACTGAATAATACAACTACACCAAAACTGTGCACCAAAGTGGCTGACCCCAGTGGGCGAGGCCTGCAACAACTCCTTGATCGTTTGAATAGCCGCTTCCCTTTCCTGACGACGACTCTCACTCATACCGGTCGCAAGCATTGACATATCAATAACCCCAGTAACGGGATCAGTACCTATCCAGATGGAGCTGTATTGAAGTTCGACTAAAGAGTTCAAGATGAAGCGAAGAAGAAGCGCTCACAGGCTGATAATAGAGCCTCCTTCATCAAACGAATGGCTTCTAGCACATCATCCCCGGTAACCTGAATACCACTCCTTTGCCACTTCGTAAGCCAACATGGTTTACCTCTTCACGGAACTCCATCTTCGCCAGAGCTTCAGAAAGTCTGATAAGCGACTCCAACTGCCGAGGAGTCGCACTGATGGTTTTGCCTGAATACGATATGCCCAAACCAGGGATCGAACCCGCGACCTTTCCTCCTCACCCACAGCCCCACTAGTGTTAGCATGCCTAAGCTTCAAGTACCCATCAGTGAGGATCTCCACTGCAGCATCAGTAAGGCGAGGCTTCAAGGAGCGTCCAAAGGCGATGTACCTTCCGATGTGAGAATCATAACGACGGCCGTACGAGCTCTTCTGCGAGGCCTCAGTGGTGGAATATATGTTCGGTTACCTCAGCTGGGGTCAGGAGTCCTCTCCCTACATTATGAAAATTTACACACGAGAAATGTACAAATACCAACACTCATATTCAAAATTCCATCATGATTCTTTGTTGTCACCAACACACGTAATTGACCATGTTTATATTTCTGTACCCTGCAAGCCCTTCATGTACAGCGAAAAGAAAGAAGCTTCACGACCTCACCTGGCCAGAGTGCCCTTGTCTATCGGTGGCTTCTCAGCTGCTGCCCCCGAGGCGTCATCCAACTTGGAGAAAAGCTTGACAATATGGCTTGCCAACGTTCGGTCGCTACGCTCGGTCCCGAGATCAAGAATCTAACGGGAAGCTTCATATCGAGGGAGGGGAGGAGGGAAACCTACTAAGTAGATGAGGTCAAATCTACTGAGGAGGGTCGGGTTCAAATTGATATTATCAACCACTGAGCGCCTCGGATCATAGCGAGATTCAATGGGATTAGCTGCGGCGCATATAGCGGTCCCTGAGGTATGCTATTCTGCATCTTGCACGGTCGACCTCAAGATACGCTTACTGGCATTGAGGCTACAAATTATGCCTGCCTTCGCCACCGACACGGTCTGCTGTTCCATAACCTCATGGAGAATTGCTCTGAACATTAAAATTACCCATCCAGAGTTCGAACCCGAGACCCTACCTTGCATGATCATCCATCTTATCGAACTCGTCAATACAGCAGATGCCCTTATCGCTCAAGACCAATGCACCAGATTCGAGAACCTAATCAACTCCCATTCGAACGACCCAGGTTCAATTCTCCCTCCCACCAATTCTTTAGTATCCGGATCCTTACTAATATAAGCTGTAAGACCAACGGCTGAGGAGCCCTTGCCACTCGTGAAGACTCTAATCAAAATCATCCTTGCCAAACGACCTTCGCTCCGCCACCATTACCCTCGAGGAGCTATGTTATGAACATACTGCAGCAACTGGGACTTAGCTGTGGAGGGATCACCAATCAATAGGACATTGAGCTCACTCCTGACAAGCACATAACAGTAAATGCTCATATGGGACGTGATGAAGGGTAATTAGAAAATATCCACGATAATTCAAGTCAGAGTGTTGACAATAAGAGTTCGGTGCTACGTATCCTACCGAAAGGATCCACGATCTTCAGCCTCGGTATCACCGGCCGTTGACTTATCGGTTCCACCGAACAATTGGCACAATAGACCCTTCTTCACCTACAAACCGAAAGGTCCCCGGTTCTATTCCCAGCGAGGTTTCTACATCTTCATTCTCCCAGATAGACGGAGCGAAGCTCTTGATGAGATTAGTAACAATGTTAGGATCAGCTGCCAGCTTGCGTAGTTCCTGAAGACATTGTTTTCTCCCATCAATCTTCAGAGACGGGCACCTCTTCCATCTCGGCATCACTAAGATCCCCTACAGCAGGTGCATCACCAACAGAGGCACCCATCGTCTCAATGTGGATAGCATCGATATAAGACCTGATCATACGGTCTTGACTACCAAGATAGAGACGGAAAACAACTATGCCCTCCAGACATGAGCACGCTCTTGGTAAGCCTCTGCTGCAGTATGACACGTTGGGGTGATGCCTTGTATATGCCGGTTACTTCCACACGATCTCCTGGCTTAACAGTGTCGAACATCGAGTCGTATCTATAGAGGTCCCCGGTTCGATCCCTGGTCACATCACTTTGACCTACGCATATATCATAACCGTATGAGGTGTCTCTCCCTCCGGTATGTTCTCCGGGGACTCCTGCAGCTTAATCAACTGTTTATCAGTGAACCTTAATCAACAGCGGAGCGAAGCTCTTGAACCCCACCCCAGGATCGACTACTTACACGCATTGATTATGTTCCAGTTCGAACGACTGCTTCTGATGACACTTAGGACAGGTCGTCGGCTCATCAATACGACCTGATTATCACAATACCGTCACCTCACCCTCCAACCATGACCACTACTACCTTTCTCAAGATTAACACTCACATGGTGTCCACAACCCTCAGTGGTACAGCGGAATGCGCCAACTTGCATATCCGGTATCAACACCGATGTACGAATAACAATACCCTTCAGAGCAACCAACTGAAGAGAGTAGTTATGCCGTGTAGAAGCATATGCACATGATCAACTATATGTGTTAGCGACAATTTCTAAATTCTAAGCAAATTTTGGGGAATTCTCAATGGTTTCTGTACACTTCTACCCGAATTCGTATGTCACATTTCATAATTAATGAGGAAATTCATGACTTCAGCTGAGGAAAGCGAACATATATTCCCCCCAACATCGCCGATTCCAAGCCGATAGTTATGTGCGTTATCACATGCTCGATATCCGACGGATCGAAATCCCTCATAGTCCTCTTGTCCTTGTCATGGAGATTGTAGATTTGCACCTATCACCACAAAAATGGTAAACATACAACGCTTCGCTTCGCCATCATCGTCAGCCCGCACCTACTTGTACAACTGCAGCCGCAGCATTGATACCGGGAGTGTTCCGAACTATGTGATTGTATAGCTGAAAAGCAATTGGTGATTTGCCAAAGAGATGGTATGGCTTACACATGCGTCCATGATCGGGATAATATCCATCGGAGCCGCTATCAAATCCGAGTACCTGTCTACCAATCACGACCTTTGCCACAATCCTACTTACAAATCCGGTGAGAACCGATGGAGATCTTGTGCATCAACAGGGAATACTTGTTGCTTATTCTCACTGTAACTGATCACCAAGCACTCAGCATTAATCATCTATTACATACTCCTCTTACCGTAACAGCTCCCTGCCGTATTTGCCTCTACCGTCTTCTCCCCCCTTGTCGAACCTATCACTTCAATGATGACCATACGACCATCACAAGACCCTCACTCGTCCAGGAACCTCATGAACAGTGTCCTAGCCTCGTCGAGTGGTATGCTACTGCCGAAAATCCTCTCTGGCTCGCCGCCGGCGCCGGCGCCGGCAGCGGCAGCACTGTTACCATCTCGCATTTGGGCATCTCCCGACTGAATAATAACAACTCACGATAATCGATCAGAATAGGTAAGCCTCACCCCAGAGGCTTCCTCATCAAAGTCGATGGTGAAACGGAGGTCACCGATATCACTACGGAAGCTTCTGAAGACGCTGCCAACTCCCATGCTACTCCCTGACACAGACTTGGGCTTATTCCGTATCTTACCAACTCAACCTAAAGATTCATACTCACCAGGACTCCTGCCCATCCTCGCATCTATCTGATTGGACATCTCCAGAATATTCCTAGCCGGCGTCTGAGCCGGGACATCGGATGGAGTACCAGATGACATGAAAGCAACCTTTCACACACTGCCAAATCAACGACCAACCATCTCCCCCCAGGTGCTTGCAACATCAAATGAATCTCCTTGTCATCTCAACATATGACAATAAACATGAATATTACCCCGCACTACCAAACTAGACCAGTCGAATAGTTCCATCATTATCTCGCCGTTCGAGGGAACGATATAGTAATAATGAATTTACCCAACAATAACACAACAGAGTGTGATGAACTGAAACTTGGATACCGAAACTAGGTCGATTTCCTCTCTAGTGTAGCACTAAAGAAACCGTCCATACCTTTACTCTGGGGCATGGCATGCATGGGCTCTTCTGATAATACTAATTCATGGAAGCGACACAAATGCTGTATCTGGGAATATATGTTCGTTATCTTCACTCAAGATAGGGAACTGAAGATTCCTCAGCTGAGATCAGAAGTTTTTCAACCTGTTGTAGTTCGAGTTTACATACGAATTTAGGTATAAAAGCCCACAAGAAAAATCTCCTAAAATTTCCCCATAATTTTCATATCGTCACCAATACATGTAGCTGAGCATATTTTCCCCCACCCCCCGAAAGTCACCTGCAGTATATTTTCCTCATCTAAAATACTATTAGTACAGTACACCAACTTGCCGCCTTTGGGTTTGAGATATCTAACCAATCTTGCTCACACTTGCATTTCCTCAATGCATATCTACCGCAGTGAATTCCTAACAATTTCCCTTTGAAGGGCCACAAAATGGAAGAGCTTCTCATCAGAATACATCCACTTCGCATCCGGATTCCGGCGGAGAACCCCCGTCCTACTGCATGGGACCTGACAGGCATATCTTAGGTTCACTCTAGCAAGATGCAAAATTGGTCCGGAAGGTTACTACATCACATAGGACCCAATCACATTTGCCCAATAACATCTTATGCAGTGTCGGATGCCTCGGATATAGCAAAGTATAATTCCTTATACCAGCCCGGCGTAGCCTCTTCCTAGCGTCCCTTAACATCGAGTCCCGTACCTAACCCTATGATCATCATCAACTATGGAGTGCATACAACACCCTACATCATGTAGATATAGATGACCAGTATTCTGCATGTTCGGGCCGAACACCAACGACTTCCCTCCACTTCCGGCGCAGTAGTCCAGGACCACACTGCCGGGATCAGCTTTACTAATAATTTCGTGGCGCGCGGTAATTATCAGATGATAATGATATCTTACACTTGTAAGGCCATTATCTGACTACTCTCATCCTGTATCTCCACTGCTCCCGATCGATACCTACTCTCAATAATTTCATGGCGCGTGACGGTGAATGCATACTACTCAGGTAAATCCAATAACAACTTCTTATCATTGATAACCAATCCCACCGGACTAGTAGCCGTTTTCTCAACCGAAATTTCCTTACTCAAAAGAAACTTCATCATATCAGAACGCGATGACTGAACCAAGACTAAACTCACCAAAAAGGACATGATACTATGATGAGAAGCCCCCCTTGAGAGGTTCAATAGGCCACTACTACCACCCTAGTGCGTATGGTCAACCGCATAGGCTGCCGTGTGGATGAGGAAATTTTTGGGAGATTCTCATTGGTTCCTGAATATTTCTACCAGATTCGTATTAGAAACTCTCTGGTTGATGGAGGAACTCCCAGCATGTAAGAAGCGAACATATATTCCCCCAACACTTTCCGTCTGACTAGGCTTCTGCATGCTATGCACACACGCGCGTGGAGCACGAGAAACCTATGATCGATTTCCATGCTATAAAACAGAGATCGTTAGATTCTGTTTATCAAGAATTCTCTATCCTATACCATTTCTGTTCCCTTTTTCCGGTCTGGAATATTCATCATGAAAATGATGATACCCGCCTTGAATTTCTCAAAGTGTTGAATATTGAATATAATTTTTCCCTAGCATTTCTACAAAATAACAGTGTTAGGAGAGGCAGCCTCTCCTGAGCTCGCATAGAAAAGCTATATCGGTGACACGGACCACTCTTTCTAGATTGAGCGTAGTACTGTATGCATACTAACCTGATTAATATTGACCCGTAGGAAGGTCACTGGCCTCTCATTCAACACACTGGATACTTCGACTGCTTTGTCTGTTCCCAACGAATCAGCAAGTCGCCCGAATAGTTCCTTCGGCATCGACGTGCGTATCTATATTCCAATATATTATCCATACCACACCTTCCCCACTTCTCACATGAGGATCTAGTCTTCTATTCTGTGCATTACTTCGCCACCGATCACTAGTGAGGTAGGTATCTATCATCACAACAACACCTCCACATATCCCTCTGCACCATTATCCCTCTTACATAACCTCCCACGAGTTGATACCGGCTTAGGGGTACAATGATCGATCAACCCTTGCCAACGGAAGAGCTCATACCTAGACCAAGCTTATAAGGCTTTCTCCCCCACGAATGGTAAATCTGTACGAAAACTACACGAAAAACCACTCAAGTGAGCTGAATGGGAAGCCTTGTAGAGGAGACGCATTGATCAGGAGTATAGCGCTGGTTTTTTTAAGATTCCATTTACAAATTAGAGTCAACACCGTATTCGTAATTCACAACGTAGTATCACAGTATAAGGTTCTAGGATATGAATTCCTATCATATATTAATAAAGTCCAACAACATGACCGTTTCACTCTAGTATATGAAAACTCATCACCGAATCTAAGCCTTGGTGAAGTTTCAGAGAAAGTACTTAGAACTGCTAAGTTAGCGAATTTTCGCTCCTTACATGAAAAAAAAGAGGAAAGTGGCACAAAACCGAAGTGATAAACAGTAGAAGTGTGGGCTTACATATGGTCTGATATCCAAGCACGGTCATCAGCATTGATAGCTCGATGGGCTTGGAAATATCTATGGTTGGGAAATACCGTCACGCGCCACGAAATTCCCTACCGATGAAGAAACATATCCACTGGGGTGTGGTGCTGCTTAACCTTATCAAAATGGAGTAGGGCGTTCTCCAAATGCCGGACTCGGAAAGCATTCATATTAGAAACAACTGCGATTAGTAGTAATAAACCATCAAACCAAACATTCCCTTTTTATCCGATACACACCATCACAATCATCGACTAAACCGTGCACCATCTATCTCCTCCAGTTTCTTTATTAATTCCCCACGCATTCTCATCCATACCTCATCCTTGGCAACAGCGACCGCACTAATAACCTGATGGGGCTCAACTCGCCCTACGTATTCCTTCATATCGAACCTGTCGAGCAACCTGACGTGGTCCTCTCAACCACATCCTCTTAAGTAAGGCCAGGAGGTCTGATAACTCCGGATAGGGTGATTCCTCACTAACCTGAGCACACCTAGATCAAGCATCCAACTTGGTTAACTAAACCTGGGATATGATATTACCTTGAATGACCAGCTTTGAAATATATTATCAAGATTTACACACGAGTTAGGGTAAGAGTATACAAAACCAACTAGAATTTCCCGAAATTTTCTCAGAATTTTCATGTTATCCCCAGCATATGTAGCTTGCCACATTGTTAGTATCCCTTTGCTGTTGCTGAGAGACTTCCAATAAGGTTGCATATTCACGGAATAGATCTTCAACCTGGTGCTCCACCTAAAATCCACTCAACCATCATCATCATTTCAGCATAACCTTATAACCACACACTTTAGTCAATACAAGTTTCAAATGGCGGTTCTCCAAATGCAGAGCTTTGTTATCAGCCACTAGCCTCTCCACCTCCTGCTTCGATAAGCATCTATCACCAGGGGTCAAGGGCTTAGGGCTATCACTCTCAGAAGAGGGAGCTGTAGATAGTAGTATAGGGGAGGAAGGCAGGGACATCATCGGATGGTAACCTCGATGAGACCCCGATCCCACTGAATATTCTGAGGCTATATCCTAGTATGCTAATGCTGATGGGCTACTATCCACTAAAGTATTAAAATATACTATTATTAGAAGAGCTCAACAGTTATGTATTGAGACGATGATAATAATGAACGATATGAGTTATAATAATAATTCGATATGCATTGTATGATCGACAATACAATACTCAATTACTATCCATATTTGTCAGTGGACCTTTTCAGTTTTAAAAACATATTACTACCAAAACTGTGCGAACATCATACTAAGCCGATGATGATAGTATAAACAACACAATTTTGTATATGTTCGAGGAGAAGATCTTATCACCATACCATTTAATACATCATAATCATTATATTTCCAAACCCTTCCCGGAGATCCACCCATTTACCAAACACTGAACAGCAACAAGCTCGCTGTAAAGAAGTCGTGAAAATCAGAAAAATTTCTTCCATCCGGCCAACAACGATTCAGGAGTGCAGACCGTCGCCTCCCATTCGGGTCTCTTCTCAATCGTACTCAGCATCATAGAGCATTGTGAAGGTAACGGTGGGAGCTTACGATAGTGAACTCCCGCAATACTGTACTGATACCTAATGACGACGCATGCGACCAAGCACTGTTACCTAGGCCTACAGTAGTGGACATAACTTGACCTGCAACTCTGTGATTCTCTTAGCATTCGTCGTTGGAGGTAGAGTTGCTAATACTTCATTTAACGCTTTAACAGCATCCATCAAAGTAGATGGATTAGCCGTACCCTTCATCGTGGCGAACCATGCAGATTGGAAGGCTTTCAGCTGATATAATAACCAACAACTCATTTTGCGCACCTACCCTATAGATATAATGTATACTATTTAATATTAATACCTTTAAAATTATATTATGATATCATATAATCATAACTATACGTTAGATCAGTACAATGGGATATCCATACAGATATTAACATGATTGCGGAGCGAGCGAAGCGAGCGGAGCTTATGTTACTGCGCACGAACACTCGTGTGCGTGCGTCCGTCCGTCCGTCCGACCGACCGTGCGTGAGCAAAAATTCCGACCCGACCAGGGCGATTCAGAAGACAAACAGGGTATCATTCTGTCCCTCGTTGACTGCTCATCAGCGTAAAAATATAGCGAAAGTGTGGCTGTTGCTTTTCCCGCTTATTTTTGACGAAATGGTTCTTCGCACAAGAGATGAACTATTAGCTCAGTACGTTAGTGACCACGACTCTCAACCGAACGGCCCAGGGTCATATCCCACGATGTTCATTTTCTCACATGTCTCTATAAGGAGACAGTGGTCGGCCACGTCGACGACGCCAGCCAACCCCCGACAACCTTTTGGTTTTCAGTCACCCAATTTCCAAAATAATTTCAATAAGAACCCGCTAAATTCTTGATAAGAAGCTCAGCGAGCTCCGCCCCTTCGAACCGAAGACCTAGTATTATATAATACTGGTTATCATATATATTAATAATACGGCTGGACTATGATACTTGGTCCCTTTCCTCGGCTGAGCTTAGGAGTTAATACACGAACCGGGGTAGGAGTGTACAGAAACCAAAATTACCACAAAATCGTCATATGTGCATATGTTTGCATATCCCTCACCTCATTATCGATGACTTCCCTCTCCTGTGTAGTAGTACTTCCCACAACATCAGGACATAGCTGCTGTAATATATCCTCGGAGTCGGCAATGATAGTATCCTTATATACCCATACAGGGACAGTCCTAACAGCAGAATAGCGATTCTATCACCACACCATTTCCAATTCATGATGGAATTGCTAGAAACACCAATTCTTCCAATCATAAACCCAAATCTGTGATTTATCCAAAACTTCCACTATAATCAATCTCACAGTAGCTTTGAGTTAATTTCGAGCGGCTGAGTTGTGTTAAACTCATTGATATGATTCATCGTAGAAGGCAACCACAGAGACACCACTACCCTACCCTTTAGGATTGGCCTGCAACAATTCGGCTGACTTCTTGGTCATATCTTCCAACTTCAATATGTAGTCATTAATGCCTTGAGAAGCCAGTCCTAGACGAGCCTGAGTTGAACATTTTGATACCACACCTTTCTGAAATGATCACCTTCTGTGTGAAGGGGCAGTCACCAATGATAGTAGGGTCCTGGACAGCCCCTTTGGCGTACAGTATCGGCTTCTCACTAACTACTGATGATTGGATTGAGCTTGACATTATTATTGAACTTAAAACCTAGTACTATGGAGAGAGAAATATCATCGTAACTACGACAGGAGCTCTGGAAGTGCAACTATCTAATGTCTGGCACGAGGCAATCACTTTGTCACCTCTAAGGTAATCAACAGATTCATGACAGAAATAGCGATCCTAAAAGCCTAATACTACGGTAGATTACACTAGTCACAGAGAAGATGATTAAAAGTTACGTTACGTAACAGTTGCGTTGAGTAAATGCAAGAATTGCAAGATGGCTGAGTATGCCATGGACGAACCCGCATGATTATGGTATACTCAATCGTTTTGAAAGGAATATGTGATCCATGAACTTCATCATCGGGTATCATTCTTTTGTGACCAAGTGTTGTCGTTTTCGACAAGTCATTAGTGACCATGCGTAGGTTAACTTGTGCAATCTTGGAGTTAATTCTGGGGTAATCATTCGGGGGTAGAATTCCTACTTCCGAATGATAACCCCATACATATTTCTACCATAGAAATGGGTCGTGTGGCGTGATGGATTCCGCATTGGTCTTCTAAACGTAAGGTTGTCGGTTCGAATTTCATCGAGGTCGTTTTTATCTGATTATTGTTATCAGTCTGGAATACTTCCTATCCTAATGGGACACGGTATCTTCACTCTGTTCGGTATCATCTACCCGATCAATTTCTTCCTCGCCGTTACCACAGTTAAATCGGCAGTTTCAAGCGACCTCGTCGACATCATTCGCTACGCATTACCTCAACATACTCATTGGATCGATGATTCTGACTTAGCCGTCGGTTGTAGGAGTCCCCTTAGTACCTCTCGTTGTTGATTCATCTCTGCAGGTGTTGGATTATCACTCTTGATGGCATATGCTCTCGTGAGTGTAGCTAGTGGGGTAAGTCATCTTCCGTCTAGGCTGTGGAAGTCTGACACTGTGTAGATACAGGCTATGCGTCCTGAGGGTTATGATAATCACTATGGACGTTTCCAAATGTCACGTGCTAAACCTGGTCTAGGGTTGAGGATGTACGCCTCACACTACAATGCACTCGAGTGCTTCACAATGTTCTCTATTGCAGTACGACTTAGTCATCGTCATCTCTCGGAAGTGAGTTATTCGTGCAGGTGATTTTGGGGAATCTACGTGGGATGGACGCACACCTCTTAGCCAACTTGTCGCTAGTGGTGATCCTGGCTCGTAAGAATTATCATATTTTCCACATTCTCGATTTTGCCATCTTGCGAAGCATTGCTTTCGATACGGCTTTTATGGCGATACTGACTATCATGATGGAGGCCGCACTCCCCGGGAATTCTGTGGTGAAGTTCATGACATCTGAAAGCTGGACCCTGCCCAGTTTATATAACATCTCGTAATTACTCATGAGCTATGCGGGTGATCATTTCTTCCTAGACCCATTATTTTGAGTTCACTAGTGTGGGAGTTGGCTATCGAAAGTGTATGAGCCTAGGGTAAGGCGAGCCTCCACCGGCAGCTTTCTTTCCTCCTCATGTCGTCATCTACTGGTGGCACGCCGGGGATAGCTGGTGGGTTGAAGAGGCTGGCGGAGTTCAATAAAGCTCTTACAGCATTACCAGCGAAAGCATCAGAGAAACAGATACAGGACATGTGTGCCTTGGCGATGGAGATGCCGGATGAAGCGTAATAAGGGAGGCTTCATTTCATCTGGAAAGCAATCATCTCGTAATTGGGGGAATATATGTTCGTTTTCCTCATCTGAGTTCGGGAGGGTCCTCACTGGTTTATGCAGTTCACATACGAATTAGGGTAGAAGTATACAGGAACCAACAAGAATTTCCAGAATTTCCTGATAATTTTCATATTGTCACCAACACACGTAGTTGGGCATGTGCATCGTCACACATAATGAGGTACTCCTCTATCTCCGTGTATAGCAGCACTATCTTGGATATTCCTGCCCCGTGTAATGACTAATGCCTTTGATAGGTACGATGTCGTCTTAGCCATCACTAACGATATTAAGAACGTCGGCAACAGGGTAGGGCCTGCCCACATTAGCATTCCTACAGGAGTCATCTTAGGCGGGTGCGGCTCAACAACAGCGGATCAAAACGGTGATCTCCCTCGTGGATACTCTTTTGAAGGCAAAACCTCCTGGAGGGCGTTCGAATAAGGGAAGCTCATCTGTGGACAACAGCTATAGGATATACATATTGAAGAGCATTGATGATATCTTTGTAGCAGCACTGAAGAGAGCAGATCAATCGGTGAGAGTTGAGAAAGGTGTGGTATGAGTTAATAACTGTGATAGACCCACTCTTGGTTGGAACGTGTATTGGAGAGGTGGAAGGAGCAGGGCAATGCTCTTCTGCCCGAGAGGATACTCAATAGATTGACGGCAATGCACGGTAACGTTAAACCCCAAGTTAAATCGGTGAGAACACCCTAACCCTTCTGATGACCTCCCATTGGGGTCATGCTTGGTAGATCCTTAAGGGCTCTGGAGGGGGCTCGTCTACACATCCTTCCTCCAATCGGTCATCATCATCATCGGCAGCAACAACAGGAAAGGAGGGCAAACGTACTAGAGGGCTGCGATACTCCTCGAATGATACAGTATGACGTAGGCTGTTGTGATACACGTCTTGCAATGTAGTATAATGTTGCACCCAAACTACTCTACCATCGTAATATGTTTAATACGATATATCATCATTATCTATGTATACTGTGTATCCCCGTAGTGACTATGTTGTTTTGGTGGTCTCAGCTTTCGCCAAGGAGATTGCTTTGGCCGAGAGGGAATTGGACCTCATTGGTATGATCCAGTCTAAGAGCTTTAAGAACTCCAAGGACAGGAAGGATGTAAATTTAACATACTAATGTTGTTGTTACAATCTAGTACCCTTTAGGCTATGAAAATCCACGAAGTTCGTTTAGCTGCGACTCGTTTGAAAGAAGGCAAACGTAAAGAGGCATCGAAGACCCTCTCTGATGCTAAGAAAAGTACTCCTTAGTGCGTCATCAGTGTCTGGACGTAGTGCTGGCATTTAGAATATGCTCATATGGTGGAGGTGTGGAAGAATAAACAGGCCGAGGCGATGAAGGCTAACGAGGCAGCAGCAGCTACCTCGTCATCATCCCTTACTGAGGAGGAGGAGGAGGTTGTAGACACGGCAATGGAGGAAATACCAGGTCATGGGAAGAGGGCGAGATTGAATCGTGAAGAGAGGGAGGTGTGGTATTGGAAATAGAGGAGTCATTGTTGACTTATGTCCTTCCATTGTCTCAGTCCTCAAGTTCACCAGAGCCCCCTATTAAACGGAAGAGTAGGTCGAATGCTGTATGGGGGGAATATACATTCGATGGTTTTTGCATCAGAATCTACAACTGAGGTCGCCGGTAGCACCAGCAGTGATGAAGGTGGTGATCATCGTGAAGTAGGGCATGAGGAAGGGAAGGTGAGCATCTTGCAATCTTGCTATTCCTCAACGCACATCTGCAGATACCATCCGGGATACTGGGCTCACCGCCAGACGACTTGCCGCCGATGGAGTTCTCTCTCGAGTGGATTCAGCATTTTTTCATGATGGTGAATTTTTCACGCGCCACGAAATTGGGAAAGACTATCCTTCAGATGTCATCAAAGATTCCCTATCATCCCTCCCATGATGTTCTTTTAGCAAGTAAAGTTAAGACCGTTGAGCAAACGCAAGAGCAGGTGAGATTCCAAGGTTGATACAAACACCCATCCCTCTCCAGCGTGTAATCGTCGATGGCTTATCACAGCATGAGCTGCTCCTCGTCCTCCGGTTCATCGAAAGGTTGGAGACACATATAAGAGTGCAGGTGAGCGATGATACGGGCGACGGCGGCGTGGGAGACTACGTACATGACTATGAGGAAATTCTGAGGAAATTTGAATATTTTTGTTGGTTCTTGTATACTTCTACCCCCAGTGCGAATTAACGAGGCAACTCCCGAGCCGTATATTCCAATATTGTCATGGATTGGGTGTAGGTGGCAGAAACGAGGAAGTTGGCAGCAGCTGCGGCGGCTAGTGGGAAGAAGAATCAGGGGTTAAGTCAAAAGGCTCTGGCTCATATTCAAGTGAGTGTTTGTTCAATTTCGTGGCGCGCGGTCATCTGTCGTAGGTACCCCATAAATTTCGACTGCTGCACTCGATGGGCGATCCATCGACCTCAGGGTTACTCGATCTTTACTTCAACATGCCTGTAGGCAGCATGTGTAGGGGAGGCCCTTGGTGGACATCCCTCGACAGGTCCAGTGTGGAACTTGTGCTCTTCGATTTGCCATACGACAGGATCTTCTTGATCATCATGATGCACACTACTTGAAGACAACTATGCTGCAGAGACGAGTGAAGCAGGTGGAACAGGAATACCGAGGATGGAATGAGGCTGGTAGGCGTCATACACTCGGGGTGTAGTAGTAGTAGTAGTAGTAGGATGTATTCCCTTTAGTGAACGATTGGTTCGATAATAAGGGGACGCCAATGCTTGGCAGAGACATATGTAGGGTACTCCAGTTGAGAGCTCCTTATAATGATGATTTTACAGGTAAGAGTTTGATCGATGCAGCAACGAAGGCTGCTGCTGCTGCTGAGGGTGGGGAGGATACCGCCTCTACGGCGGCTACTGAGACCAAGTCTAGTGAGGGGCAAGTGAAGGAGGAGGAGGAGGTCGAGAACAAGAACGGTGATGCCAACTCTCGACGAGGGTTTGTTAGTGATGCTGTTCGACTGGAGGAGATGCTATGGTAAGAGAGAGAGGTTTGGGAATTTCGTGGCGCAGTGACGGTGTTTCTATTGAAGGCATGCATCGCCTTATGACCCAGTGAAGACTAAGTGTTTGGAATGCGGGGATGAGCTCGAGGAGGAGTGGGCCGACGAGCCCGTGGATATGCCCGTCTTCAAAGGTTGGTATCTCTCCTGCCTCCTTTCCCCTACGTACTGTCCTTAGACACCGTGGTCGTCCCTGTCGGTTCCTCGGTACCTGTTCACTTTCTATGGCCGGGTATGGCCTCTGAGGATGGAATCGAGAGTAAGGATAAGAAGACTGCTGCTGCTGCCGCTGAGGGAGATCCACAGCCCCTCACGGTGGATGCTGCTATGGCGAGCGCTAGAGGTAGGTGTAGGCTTCCGGTTGCTGCTACTCCTCATGAGCTCATCAGATGACTACCGTATGCATAATACGTTGTATTTCCATCGTGGCTGTTGGATCGGCAATCCACTGTTGAGGGAGAGGGAGTATCAGAAAAAGTATGTATCTATACCCCACATGATCTACTATTGATCTTGAGAGGAACACCATTCTGTCTTTCCCAGTCGCGTGTCTCATCTCACCATCATTGTTGTTGTCTCAGATTGTTGCTGGTGGAGGCCCATCAGCCGTTATCGAGCTTGGCTGATGCGGAGGAGGAGAAGGCAACGATGATGGAATTGGATGGTGGTGTTGAAGTAGAGGGAGTTGCCAACACGAGGATCATCGTCGAGGAGGGTGTTGAAGCACCAGAGGGAGGAGGAGCTACTGAGGAGCAGAAGGCACTCGAGATGCGACGTTCTCAACTTGCCACACATGGCAGACGAAAGCGCTTCTAGTATTACGTTTTGTAACTACCAAGTGTTGTGTTGTAGTTGAGTGAGGAGGGAGACAATAAACGATCCACAACGGAGAAAACTTAGTTAATATTGTGAAGTTGAGAGGAGGACGAATTGCACAGTTCTGAGATGTGAATTCCTTGCTCGCCATGATAAACGAGTGACGATCATGGCCGTATTATTTTAGTATCTCATAGCTGTGCCTGTAGAACTTGTTGGAAGTCTAGCCTGTAACACTACTTGGCTGATGTACAATATCTAATCTACGAATTTAAGGATAAAATACGTTCCTTAGAATACTCGGGCTGATTTTTCACATTCGTGGAGCCTTTTGGGTGGCAAACATATCCCCTTGGGCAAGAACGTGGCAGTAGATCCTCAATGGATTGATGCCAATCATGGTGTCCCAATTGATGCACTCCAACACATAGATATGAATTCTAGAGGAAGCCCTGAGTACACCGTTGCTCGCCAAGACGAGTAGCCATCGGTGATCTACGTGAGACCATGAAATTGGCGAGGAGTGGTATCGTGTGATGATGGATCCTTCCAGGATTCACTGGTCGAGATATGCTATAAACATGCTGATGGTGATCTCACATAGTTGTTGCCCCAATCGGGCTTCCTTGGCCCTCTTCTTGTCTCGGACTATCCTTGCTTTATCCCTCTCCATATCCCTTTGCATTTTGAGCTCGTCTTCCATTACCCTCTTATCGGCTGACCAACACAGCTCATCACACCAACGTTCAGCAGACCCTACCTCGCGCTTCCGCCCGTCTCAAGTGCCCTGCCTGGTCCTTGATACCTGCTCGGTGCTCGTGTGTTCTGGTATCGCATTCGGGGTATTTCCTAGCTGTGGAACTCTCACCTGTGAAACTGTGTGGAATGATGCCCATCAGTGGTGTTGCCTAATGTGGCTGAGACAAAAAGCGAATCTTCGTTTCTATAATCTCACGAGGTAGCTACTACGCCAAATCGCCTTATGGTGGTGTCCATGGTCATGCAAGGAAAACAACATCGATCTTCACGACTTCGTTCGTGGGTGCCATGCGGTGCTGAACTCAAAAAGGAGTGGTATCAGAAAGGTCCTTCCATGGAATAGCGGCATCGTTTCGTCCTCCTGAACACCAACGAGTGCTGAGCCAGAAGGCCTTCGATACCCACGCCTAAGATGGAGTGCTGTTAGGCGTCAGAGCATGACCCCACCGGTCACCGTTGTGAAAGAATCCTGCTATTCCTCCTACCGGATTCAAACTGTGAGTAATTTTGGGTTTATCGGCTAACATCAACGGATAAAGGGGGCTCAAGAAGGAGGTGCAGCGATGTACGCTCGATTGACACGAACTAACACACCCTTCGTTGACTGCGATGCTGATGTGTTTGGTGGTCTAACCTTTGATGGGCGGGTGGACAGCTCGTGAGAGGTGGAGTTTCCCAACTGAAGGAGTCGGGAGTCGCTGCTAAGCAGTGTGTTGACGAATCTTACGCAGTAGCGATAGGTGGTATGTTGTGATGATGGGGGTTGATGGAAATACACATGGGAGATAAGGAGTCTTGACCGCGACTATTGAGGGTAACTCGAGAGGTTCGTTGTAGTATCATCATTTGCTGCTGCATGATCAATCGTCATTGGCGATGGTAGACCAGCGTGCAAGGAGGTCATTGCAGACCTTTCAAGTCGATCGCATACGATGACCGGGGAATAGTGGGATACCAGTCATGATGACAATGATGATGATGTTTCGAATGCTTATCATGGTGACGATGGTGATGGTGATTGAATGCTTAGCAGCTTACGTAATGAGTTGATCTGATAGGAATCCTCTCATACATGATAGGCAGCATAGAGCTACCGCGAACGAAGAGGTTACCCACCAACATCGTTAGGTACCGACTCAAAAGAGGAGGTCGAAGGAGGATACAAACGAATGACTGATAATGGCGTAAATAAAGCTATATTGTGATTCGTATCATTAACAGCGCGTATAAGAACTATGACGCAAGACTATGGATTTGAACACGACGAAAGGACCCATCGAAAGCAATTCCACCTCACAGCAGCGAACACAACAAACCATCACGAGGGACGCAACGACCCCACCTGACAAGACATAATTACTGATCCCTTCCATCTCTGAAGAAGACCTCGCAATTGACGAACACTACAGAGCAGTATTGGAAACGAGCGTCGAACGACTCTATTTGCGAATGAAACTAGTACACAAACCGACGGCACACTTGAGCAGTTGAATAATTATCATCTGTTCTGTGTGCTATTGTCGGGAGTAGACAATGGTAGTACTTCCTCGGAGGAATAGGAAGATCTCCCGAGGCATTCAGTGATTATCACTATATAAGAATCAACCATGGTGACATAATCATGATAGTAGTAGTAGAAGCATAACCTCGTTAATGATATATCGACTTACACCATCTAATGGTACTTAGCGAGGAAGTTCTTATGGAAGTCGGCGAGCTTACCGATCATCTCCTTCATCATATCATCAGGAGGAAGGATGGTAATCCTGAAATGGTTGGTACCCTCAACCTCCTTGAAGCCGTTACCAGGGACACACACGATGCCAGTCTGCTCGACCAAATCGAGGCAGTACATAACATCAGCACTGGCGAAGCCACGGGCCTTGGCAGCCTCAGTAGCCTTCTTGGGGAGCTCGATGTTGACGAAGGCGTACATGGCACCCTGGACACGTTGGCAACTCATACCCTCGATCTTGTTGAACTCCTGAGAGATGGCCTCGGCCCTTCTCTTAAGACCATCGTAGATGTTCTGACGCTCCTGCTTGAATAGAGGATAGCTGGGGCCGTTCTCGGGGGGAGGAGTGCACATAAGCCCGACGAAGATCTGACCCAAAGTGTTAGAGGAAAGACAAGAGGCTGCAACCTTGTTGAACTGAGCGATAGTGGGCTCATCGAAGCCAACAAGTTCCATGTAACCACCACGCTGACCGCACTCACCAAGGAGACCTTTAGAGGTAGAGTGGAAGCTGACCAGCTGGACCAAGTCAACTTTCCAGGGGTTCTCCTTCTGGAGGTCTCGGAGGATCTTCTTGAACGAGTAGAACTTCCTCTCAGTGTAGATGTTCTCCTGATAGACCTCATCAGCCATGATAAGAAGATTGTGATCCCGGGCAAAGGTGATGATGCCGCGGATGTCCTCCTCACTCAAGACGGAACCACACGGGTTGCCGGGGTTGATAACAGCGATGGCCTTGAGGTTCATACCTTCGCTCACGGCACGATCATAGGAGGTCTGAAGCTCCTGTTGAGAGACACTCCATCCATCCTCCTCCTTGAGGTAGTAGTAGTCATAACGGCCACCGTTCATGGTAAGAGCACAGGAGTAGAGGGGATACTGAGGGCAGGGGAGGAGGACACCATCAACACCGGGCTTGGCGATGATCATATCCATCACACGTTTGATACCCTCAGAGGCGCCAGTAGTGAGGAAGAGCCTCTCAGTATCACAAGGATAACCATCACGTCTCTCGATGTAAGCAGCGACCTGCTTCCGAATGCAGGGGAGGCCGGGGCTCATAGTGTAGCCACCAGTGCCGACACCATTACTGCCATTCAAGTAGTACTGGGCAGCGGCCTTGACATCCTCAGGGAACTCAGAAGACTCCATAAGAGCAGGGTAGGTGCAGATAGCAGCAACTTGACGGTAGTAGGTGATGGGCTTTTGACCAACGACCTGCGGGTTGCCGATGTTGCAGGGGATGGTACGATCGAAGGGGACGGTCTTGTCGCCCTCAGCAATACGCTTCTTCATCTCAGCAGCCTTGGCCACGACGGCACCACGGACGGCATACTCTGCCTGTCGGATATTTTGGTTCATGGTCTCAACCGTGAGGGCCTGATTCGTACTAGACATGATGGTGATTCTACTACTGTAAAACTGATAGTCATGATACTCAATGGACAACAAGTCGCTGATAGCATTTTCAAGAGAACTATCGAAGACGCTAATCGAGAGTCTTCACACAAAGCGAGCTGAAAGTGTCATTCGAAGAGGCGGAGCGATACAGCTTAGGTGCATGATACAGCTTTGGTCCTCGGCAATGATGAGAGCTTTCCATCAATGTTGGACTTCTTAAATACAATTCAAAGAGCTATTCCACCTGTAACGTGCTGGTGCGATGTACACCTGCGGGAATCATTGACTACGACGATGATGACGGCCGGTCATATATTGCACGCATGCTCAACAATGTAGCGCTCGCCACGAAACTCGTCAAGTGTACTGCGGTGCACTGAGGAGTCGGCTACTAGTCGCTGACCTTTTACAGGAGGATGGGAGAGGGGACCAATGCTAGTTTGGGCTTCCTCTACAATTTATCGGAACAAATACACGACACGTGCATCGGAACCGGCCCTTAGGGTCTTATACCTGCAGGAATATGCAAGAGGACGATAACAAGCTACTCGCCCTTTACCTTAGGAGTTGCTCTTTATGGCGTGGCTTAGGGAGAGTGGAGGCTTCATCGTTGGTTAAGGAAATGCTCCCAAATTATAGAGCGCGAACCATGCAGCAAGGCGAGAGTGTTTTCAGCAGTTTCTCACTTGTATGACCAAATTCCTATTTCCTTCCAACCTTGTAGATATAGCCGGCGGTAGAGAGGCCTTCGAGGGTGTAGTTAAACGTTTCTATGAGCTCTCATTCGAAGACCCCATTCTAAGCTGCCTCTATGAAGACAAAACTGAACCTCATCATCTGAGGTTCGCCTCGTGGTTCTACTCTGCTTGTGGCATTGATGATTCCTATAGGAGGATGGGTGGCACTCGATATGTAAATAAAATGCATAAGAAGTCCCAACATTGTCCCTTACGAGGAGAGGCTCCTAAGGAGGCAGGCTACATCGGTGATGGCTTTACGGTTCAACAGAGGAATCGATGGCTTCGTCTACAGCTACAGGCATGTGAAGAATTCGATCTACCCAAAGAAGAGTTCATTAAGCCCTACATAAAAGGCCTGAGCAAATTCATGGTTGTATATGGTCCTTTTACAGAGGCCAGGGCTGACGACGATGCCGTACTGGGTAAGTGCCCAATGCATCGAGAGCCTATCGTACCTCTGACAGCAGCAGAGAGAGGCATTGGAAGAGCTTCTATATAAACAGCTCTTCCTACGCGACATGTTCCATACTTGCATTAAGATGTGTTTCAGATTATCTCAAGTTTATAACTAGATGAAGTTTCTCTATTTAATGGCGTCTTGTGTTAGTTATGTCCCCATGATTCTATGCAGAAGACCCCTCAAATGGCGTGGTGCCTCCTGTCGGCATTTTCCATCAAAGGCCTCTGTTGCCTCCTCGTAACAACCTATATACTGGACATAGTCATAACCACTCATCTCACCTCGATCAACCTCCTATCAACCGGAACTCTCACTCGATTATGTATCAGCCGAATCGTTCTCACCCCTCTAGCTTTCTTATCGGCGTATGTAGTGTGGAAGAGACGAATTGGAAATATACAAAATGTTGACGATGAGCAGCTACTGTTACCACTCACTGGTGGTGAAGACTTGTCGATTGAACGTGAGAGGTTGAGGACTATTGCATGGCAGAAAAAAAAGAGTGGCAAAATTATGAATACCATATTATCGGGAGCATTCATGGTGCAAACGGTCTCAGCAGTGATGACAGGTGTTGAAGCTGTCCAGTTGGATCAGCACTTCAAATCAGCTGTTGATGTAGTCATGCTATGTTCTATAATTTTATGGGCTAATTTGGAGTATTTCCTCAGCAAAGATATCTTTGATGCCTCGTGCGCGGATTCAGGTGAGGTCCTAGTTGGTGTTCATCTCCATCCAGTGTTCTTCATGCCGGAGATGAAGTGCCATTCGTGTGATGTATGTATGGAACGTATCGAGGACGATGGCTACCGCTGTAAGACCTGTGACTTTGATGTTTGCCTTCGATGCCACGCCCGTCACCGTCGTGAGAGCCCACCTCTTGGTGCTGCTGTTGGTCCGAGTGGTGGTGGTGGCCTTAGTCTTGGTCAGTTCTTCTGTCGATCGATTCAACTGGCTTTGGAGTTTTGGCCGACTCTAGTGGCTGCTATGGTATGCATGTTGGCTTGTCAAGCGACATTATTGGCAGCTCCCAATCTGCAAGGTAAAATATTCGATTCTATTATAAAGTGGGACCAACAGCTGTTCACTCACACTGTGTACGTATATCTATGCGTTAACCTACTCCAAGGCTTCCTCGCAGCAGTACAGAGCCTCACACTCAACTTGGTGGCTCGTCGAATCAGGGCTACTGTGTGCCGAAAACTTTACGTGTCTATCATTGGTCAGGACGTGTCGTTCTTTGATGCTACGCATACTGGTAACCTCACATCGAGGTTGTCGAACGATGCTGCGGCAATGACCAACCCCTGTCGAACGATCCTTAATAATCTGCTGGCTAATGCTGTCCTCCTCTTGGGTGGTGCTATTATGTGTTTTATCACCAATTGGCGTCTGGGAGTGTTAGCGGCCACATCAATGGTGCCGATCTCCTACGCGTATCGTCTGTATGCTCAATGGTCAAGGCAAGTCTACTCGACTATCTATCAGGCCTTAGGGGATGCTAACTCAGTCGCTACGGAGAGTTTCAGCAACATTCGAACGGTGAGAGCTTTTGGAGCTGAGGACACTGAAATCGGCAACTACAATGAGGCAGTTGAAGTAGGACTAAAAGCAGGAGTGAGAAGTGCTGTTGTTGGTGCTGGTGTTTATGGTTATGCGAAGTACATAGATTTGGGCACGACAGTGTTGATACTGTGGTATGGGGGAAGCGCTATATTCAGCGGGAAAGGGGCCACCTTGGGAACGCTGGTGGCATTCCAGTTGTACTGGAACATGATGAACGGTGCATTCAATGCACTCAGTGATGTTGTTAACGATCTAATAAGGGCAGCCAGCGCAGCTGAGCGGGTCTTCAATTTGATGGACAAACGACCCGGGATCGATCCCCACGAGGGTCGTGAAGTTGACGATATTGTGGGGGAAATTAAAATCGAAAATCTGAGTTTTTGTTATTCTTGCCGGCCAGAAAAGATGGTATTGAAATCAATCGATCTCGAGATGCATCCCCGCACTGTGACGGCACTAGTCGGCCGATCTGGTGGGGGTAAGAGTACGTTGGTCCATCTACTACTACGATTCTACGACCCTATTGAGGGAAGGGTACTCATGGATGGTATCGACTATAGGCAATATAGGCCCTCTAGCTTGAGGTTGGTAGACCCCGAAGGGCAGCTGGTGATGATATGTCAGGTCGAGGATTGGACTGGTCGCTCAGGACACGCAGTTGTTCTCTACGTCCGTGTATAAGAATTTGGTATATGGTCTCGACAGAGAATGTAAGTAATGTTCACTCAGAGATGGTATGCTTAGGCGAGTAATAGGTAGTATGGAGGAAGTGGTATCAGCAGCTCGTATGGCCAACGCTCATGAGTTTATTGAGGAGATGGATGAGGGGTATGAAACTCGAGTGGGGGAAAGAGGCATTCGACTCTCGGGTGGCCAGAAGCAACGAATCGCTATTGCAAGGTAACGGAGGATTGCTATGGTGGCAGTGTGGGGAAACATACATATGGTCTGACCATATGTGTCGGTGACAATATGAAAATTTCGGGGAATTTCTCGTTGGTTCCTGAACACTTCTACCCTAAATCGTATTTATATTCCTGAGCTCAGCTGAGGAGGAGAGCGAACATATTTCCCCCCAACACTGTACTGTGGATTAGACTACCCTCTCAGGTGTTTCCTCCGACGACCTCGTGTGCTACTCCTAGATGAAGCCACTAGTGCTTTGGACACCGAGAATGAGGCGTTAGTCCAGGCAGCCCTCGATGGGTGGGGTGCACTGGTCTGGAGGGTTCAAGGGCTTTATGTGTTAGATTGATAGCAACGGGAGGGTGTACAGTCATCCTGGTAGCTCATCGGTTGAGTACTGTTAAAAACGCTGATATGATCGCTGTTATCAGTGAGGGAAGAGTAGTTGAAAAAGGAAGGCATGATGAACTTGTTGGAGAAAACGGTAAGTCGTAATTGATCATCTTGAGAATATTATGAGAGATAGTTCGGACGAGTCCAGTGCCGTTGGAATATATGTTCGTATTCCTCAGCTGAGCTCAGAAACTCCTCCAATAAACGAATTCGGGGAGAAATATACAGAAGCCATTAAGAACTTCACAAAATTCTCATGTTGTCACCAACACACGTAATCGACCATGTGCATATTTTCCTCCCACACCTAAAGAGTCTGTTGGCGATGATTAGATTTGTCCAAGTCGATCTAAGTATGCTCCTCCTAATAGGTGTGTATGCTAAGCTGGTGGCACGACAATTGAGTCACGATGGTAACAGGCTTACAGTAGATGAAGTGTATGATAATGAGGTGAAAGCGGCATGATGTTACTTTATATCATAGTTTGAATGCGTTACGGTATTGATGTTGAAACCAAGCATTTTAACGTGGCACTTCCCGCATCATAAGAAGCTGTGTCATACACATGAGCGAAGCGATACACATATTCTGTGAGTAACATGACCAAAGCCATCACGCCTACATATCTTCCCTGAAACTGTTACTCTTTCGAATGCTCATGGTCGCCGTGAACTATATCGAAACTAAGCATTCTTTACTGACCTACTACTTCACCAATCCATTGTTGCGCTATCACCAATGGATCGGCAGAAGATACCGTAATAGTTCACTCAGCACAGGTGGGTGATGATGTAGACTCGTCATTTAGTGTATGTGTGTGAGGAGTTATCGCTAATCGGTTGGGAAAATATTTACCTAGATCTCCAAGGCAATAATATACTGGGGTAACGGAACCTTGGCAATTTGTTGGAAAATGCTGGAGCTTTCGGCGACAACACAGGAGCTCATCACGCTGTAAACTACTAAAGGTGGATACCACAACTCGGCCAATTTTCAAGTTCCGGAGTTGTCTTACCTGCAGTGTATACAACGCACAATGTGAAAAGTTTGGCCTCCTTTGTGGAGGTCTGTGAAGGCGGCGGAGGCCCAAAGAGCAGATCTAACAGATGGTCAATTCCATCTTGAATGGAAATGCATCACTTACCCTTACTATAATCAGAGCAACTGTAAATCTGGGGAGATCGGGTGCGGGCAAGCTGGAGCATCGTCCAGTGGCACATCTATCCGTCTGTGTTGGTAGTAGTAGTACTTGTATTGTCAACGGAGTCGTCGGGGAACACCTGCATCATCCAATATACGCATAAAGTTTGCCGATGAATTCCCCTTCTACTCTGTGATGGCCGCTACCAGAGTTCTAAAACAGTTGGGTTGATAACAGTGCATACCAACGACCGACTGTCGAATTGCGACCTTTGGTGTCTCTCAGCTTTCCATAGCTTATAAGCATTGTTGGTGGAAGATGATGATCTCGTCGTCATGGAGCATCCCATGAGTTGGTGTGTTTGCCGTCTAATCGAAGCTCTCGTGTAGAGGGTGGTAGTTCTTACCAAATTTGAAGTTGTCCAGTATGGCGTACATTTTATCTTTTTTGAGTACAACCTGGAGTCGTCCCTCAGCAGTTCTGATGAAAAAAAGGTAATAAGTAGTAGAACACAGCGATAATCCAATAATACGCATGCCGTATGGTAGAGGTACTCAAACTGTTTAATTTCATAGTGTGGTCTGCCTTGCTTGTTGTGTTGATTATATGACCATCACTACATGTTGGGTATGCAGCTACTATCTGATTGATGTCAAGTACGTTTGCTGGGTTCACTGCTCGGTTCGGCATCCCTAGTTTCGTGGCCGGCCTGATAGTCGGTGGGGCTGGCATGAGTCTCCAACAGGGACGCTACTTGGCCGACAACAAGAAGAAGGAGGAAGGTACGCCCTCTGGTGACTACTGGTAATGATGGTGCTGTTTCAGGAGGGGTGGTTGATGATGAGAAGCATTACCCCTCGTCGAAGTTGCCTTCACAAGAGCACATATTAAAACGACAATCGTATGTGTCTAGTGTGAACTATGCTACTAAAATACCCAATTGGGTGAGTGAAGTCCACCATCGCTATTGTTGGATGGTGGCTATTGTAGGTAGCAGAAGCAATAACGTACAAGAGTGTGACCAGTAAGAATGCTGATCGGTCAAGGGCTTCCTTCAAGGCTGATAATGAGGTTCCCGAGATGTACTCCTTCACACGTGGTAGATGCCTGATAGTTTGTATGTGTGTCAGGTTTAGAGCATCTAATGCTGACTATTGGGACTCGGGTTGGTCACGAGGGCATCTATCTATGGCTGGGGCCCATAAAGATGACCAGAATGCTCAGAATGACACCTTCCTCTTGAGTGGCAATATCGTAAGAGGAGGTGTTATCAAAGGCTTACTCTGACATCATTCAGGTACCTCAAGACCTTAGTATGAACGGCTCGGATTGGCTTCGACTTGAGTGAGTTATCGGACCTGCTTTGTATCTTACGAGCAGCAACCTTAGATATTTGACATTGGACTTGGCAAGGGAGCATGGACCGGACTCTAATGATGTCGTTTATGTGGTCTCTGGTCCGTTGTGGATGGCAGACTCGCCTGATGAGAAGCTCACCAAGGAGATTGGTGCCAAACCCCATACTAAGGTACAATCATACATCACTTCCGTTTGGAGTGGTATCATGATGGTTATCGACCGTGTTAGGTCCTCAATGATGGTAGTAATGGTAAGCCCAAGCGTTATGTTGTAAAGTATGAGGTCATTGGTGACAATGAACTGGCCGTCCCCACTCACATGTTCAAGGTTGTCTATGACACCAAGACTAACTCTTCAGCGGCATTCATCATGCCGAACACGCCCATTAGATATGAGAAAAACCTAAAGCAATATCAAGTGCCAATCGAGAGGGTAGAGAAAGCTACTGGACTTGACTTGTCTGCTATGAAGAAGGGCACCGATCTGTGCGGTCCTGAAAGCCGTTGTGTTATGAAGGGTGGTAGACGGATAAATTCGTGGAGGATCTACGGCAGCATTCGGGCAAGTGCCAAAGAGAAGGAGACTTTCGTGAGGAGGGTCAAGCGAGCGATAAATCATAATTACCTGACTGATGATAACTTCCTTTTGACGAAGATGATTAGGGAGGAGATGGTTGCCCACCAAGGTGTCACCGACCCGGTGGAGTTACTCGGACCAGGAGAATATGCTGATAAACTACAGGAGGCTTTCGATAGACTAGACGCTCGAGATGCCGAGAGGAAGAAGAAGACTATGAAGGAGTCTGCTTGATTTCCTACAACTTATTGAGGTGTGGTTCTGTTCCTCTCATTAGCAAGAGTTCTTTCGTTATAGTACGAGTCTTATTTTTTGGGCGAGCGAGAAATCAAAATGCGCCGTCCGTCCTATTCTTCATCCCCATGCATGTAGTTGCCTTATCGTAATGGAAGTGCCCTCATCAGACACAACTCAAGCTGACTCTATCGGGTCGGTTATTGATGATGAGGAAGCTCCTGATGTCGTCTTGGCATGTACGGAGGTCTGGGCACCTCTACTGGAAGGGCTGGCAATAGAGTGTTCAGTTATCGATATCGATCAGGACTTCGTAGACTACCTCAATGAGGATGGTCTTGATGGTGGAGGCTTGGTCATGGGTAGGAGGGACTCTGATAGTGATAGCGATTGGGAATATGATGGGCCTGATTCGTATCCTACCGGCTCAACCTTGGCAGAAAGATTCCCTGTCTTGAACACGCGTGTTGAGGAGGCTATCGGAGGATTCGGGGGTTTCGCCTTTCCTAAGTTGTCCTGGTCGGCCCCGACTGATGCTGAATGGGTTCGAGGCCCTGATGGGATGAAGTGCCGCAACTTGGATGAAATTACTGTTCTGTTGAAGGCGAGTGACTTCGCACAATTCGACCTCCAACGACTGGCGATTCCCGAAAGTCAACGACAACTCGTGCCTTTGCCCAAGTTGATTTTGAAGCCCTTTATTGAGCCCTTCCACGAGACGCTGGAGTTTAGGTGTTTCGTGAGGGGTGGGACATTACGAGCGTTGTGTCCGAGGCATCTTACTGGTCATTTGCCATTCTTATACGATATGATGTATGGTCAAGAGCAGGGGCTTGAAGAGTTGCGTCGGTTTATTGATGATCAAGTAATGAGACGCTTATCGAGTGGAGACTATGATAAGGTCGTCATTGATGTGTATAAGCATAGGAAGAGGTATGTTGTGGTCGATTTGGCCCCGTGGGATGAGGAGCTTACTGACCCGCTGTTGTACACTTGGGAGGAGCTTGAGGAGTTTGATGGGGATGTAGAGTGGCGTGAGGTCCCTAAAGGGGCGATGCCGACTAACCCAAGTGCAGTGCGGAAGTAATAATACTAGGTGGCTCGGCTGGGGTGTTGCAGTGTTGTTGTTGTTGTAGTGTTGTTGTTAGACGAGCTTCTCGCATGCCAGTGGAAGTCGCTCAGCAGCTGCTATTACATGGTGGAGATGTGGAGAAGTTGGTCGATTCATTACGTTAAGTGTACGTTTTCTGTAACGGTTAGTGTATTGGTTTGTCATCGTTGAGACACGGGTTCGATTCCTGGTTGTTTTTCTTTTATAACGTCGACTAGTTTGGATGGCATCGTCGTGCCTGCGAATAGAAGGCATAATCTCACGACCAAACTCAACCCTGTATTGGATGAGATGCTCACACGAGTAGTCAATGGGGTTCCAGTACACCTACGATGTGTAGAAGGTGTGGTATGATAATGTGCATACAGATGATAGCTTTTAATGGGATAAGAAGGGGCTTGCCGAGCACAACCTTGCTCCTTGTAGGATATGCAGCTAAGGACAGTACGAGTACAGTGTGGTTACTCCCACCACTACCTGTTGGTAGTAGTGAAGGCATCTGTTGGGATGGGGCATATCCAAGGTAAGGTAGTCGGGAGGTGTGGAGGAGCTTGAGAGGTAGACTGGTAGGGTTTTGACAGTATCAAACTATGCTTATTCTATCACCTCTCTTCTCTTGACTGGAGCATTTAGTCCGCACGCTATCATTAACATCCAGTCCTCATCTGTCTACCTCGCCATCGAGGTGTTGTTGGTAGTTCTTCATCTCGATCATCATCATCATCATCATTGGTGTCTTGGATGTTAAGCCAGGCTACGCCTGTCACTATGGTGTCCACGCCAAACATGAGCCCAGGCAAGTGCTACTGCTTCCCAGGTCGAGCTATGGTCTACTGGGTAATGCGTCATTCGTTCACCAGTGTTGAGGAGATGATCGTCGTAGACGCGATAGACGGGGTGGTGGTAGTAGTAGATGGGCCCTGGTGAAACAGATAGAGGAGTCCCGCTTCGGAGTAGTGTTGGGTGGTAGTGCTGCCGCGTCCAGTTGACAGGTTTGTGGTTCTTCTTGACGGAATTCTATCCTCCATCAAGTCGATGTTACCCTCGGTGGCGGGCATGCTCGTGTCCTTCATGATCGGACAGGATGGCTGTTTCCTACAGAGGTTGGCGCTCGAGTAATCAGAGATGGAGCCGACTTGTTCTTGCTGTTGTTCAATGCACTGTATTGCAGAGGTTCCCATACCAAGCCTTGTCAGCCGTAAGAGGTGTGTGATCGGGGTTGGACTTGGGATTGGGTACAGCCTACGAGGCTAACACCCATACAGTCCAACGATGCCAGTGTCAATAAGATGCGAATAGCTTTTGAGGTTCTACTACTCCATGATGATGTAATTATCTATGTTAGTGTTGCGTGGAAGTATAAGTGGGCATGGGGGGGACGTAACGAAGTCATCCAAAGGATACGCCTGGTGGTCGTGACCATTCCTCTCACTGTACTATCGCACTAGCAACGACTGATACCCTTGAGTTTTTGGTATGAATCATGGATCGACTCGGTTGAGTCGCTTCGCCGTAGGGGCGGCGGCCGCTATGGCAACTTTGGGTGGTATTTACATCACATCCGACATTAAACGACGAGAGGCATGTAAGAAGAGCCGTTGGCAACACCCACATATCGATAGCCTTTCAGGTGCAGCTTGGGCCCATTCGTTCGCCCGAGGGGTGACAGTGGTTCGACTTATGGCCCAGCAGCAACAGGAAGCTTCTAGTCTTGCCTCTGTGAAGGGAGAGACCATGCATGAAGGCCTTGTAGCGAGCGTCACGCGCCTCATAATTCAGTCCACTGCGGGGGTGGAAGTCCTCACACCGTAAGCGTCACTGTTGGGTGTGAACGCCTCTACGTGATGATGATGATTCAGGTCAGCACAACTGCAGTTAGCCAGCGATAAGTCCTTCTTGGACTTCCTATGGGCATGCAATGCTCGAGACGTTCTCATGCGGCTCTTCACTGCCCTCCCACCGCGATCGGTAATAGGTCGCCGTGACGATACCCGACTTAACGTGCAGTCCTCTATAGGCGATCAACATCCTCGCCACTTCCCCATCACTGGCCACTCTGGCCTCCTTCTGTGAGGACTATATCGGCGGTGATTCGAAGTCTTCTAACTTCCAGTGAGTAGCCCCTCCTGGCCTCTTCTGATGAGGCCGTCCCTCAGACACCTTTGCAATACCATTGATTGCTTTCTACCCGTGGACTTCCCCTCCTTACGGTCGTTACCTCATAACGAGGCAGCTATCGAGAGGGACAGACGTGATGCTGTAGAGGTCATCAACAACAACAAAGCCGCCATCTCCGCTACGTCCAACCTATGTAGCCGATTCGTGTTGGCGAGGACAGCTCTTGAGATGGCCGGTCGGAAGTATGCACCGTTCGAGGGTAGACGATGTCGATTGTGTCGTCTCCGTCAGGTTCGAGCTGTCCCCCCAACCCTCGTCCGAGGCCATCTCGACAGAGAAGCGACTCTGGTTACGAGAAGCAGAAGCTTGGCTCAGCACTCCCGAGAAGTTGGACGTCCCATTTAACTTTAGTGATGATATCATTGCCGACTACCTCGTTATCGATAGACCCTCAACGATACGCATTCTGACCCTTCTGGCGACTCGCTACGGGCTGAACATGTCGGATGAGCAAACAGCGTTGTTTAATGACGACGAACTTTTCGGCATCTTCGATGAGGCCAAGGACATCATGGACGTGCCCAATTCGGTTTTGTTTTCTTCCCTCCGATCGCCTGCCCATCGAGATATTGTCTACCGCTGGCTATCAGCTGTCCCTCTCGATGACGAACGCATCGACACTCTCCTCGCTGCTGTGATCAGTCTGGGGGAGGACTTCCTTGGTGTCACCGACTATGAGCTATTTGCTAAGACTCAACTGCAAGCTGACTCTCCATTACGTATGGCAGACGACATAACCCTTGTGGTGACCGAGGCCAGCGAGAAGGTGCCGTTGTCTGTGCTCTCTCGAGAGGAACTGCTCGGTCGAATTTCCATCTTGGCCGAGTTGGCCTCCTCAAGGGTAGAGTATCGAGAACGAGTCGGCGAGGCCTTGGGTGCCACTTGCCTTCCTCTATGCATGAGGCTCCTTCCAAAAGGCAACGACTTGGTCACCAAATGCGCCGCAAACGTAGTCGAGCTTCTGCCTGCTACCAGCAAGTACGTCCCCGAGCAACCACCAGCTGAGTTGGATGACGCTATGGAAGGTGTCGAGGCATACTACGAGCTCAGGAGACTTCGAGAGAACATATCTGGCAAGAGAGTCTTGGGAGCCCCTCAATACGTTGAGGGTGTCCTACCTCTCATTTGTGATGCCAGTTCGACGGACTATGACATTGTCTTCGTACACGGCTTGCAAGGCGGTTTGTATACGTGGCGAGAGGAGCCGTCTTGGATGAGGGACTTCCGGCGTAAACAAGTTGAAACTGAAGACACTACGACTGAGTCGGGACCACAGTTCCATTGGCCGTGGTCGTCCTCAGTGAAGGCCGAGGAAGCCGAAAGTCATCAATGGGATGATTGGGAGAAGCCTGTCCTCTGGCCAGTACGTGACCTTTCTCCCCTGTTCCCTCGGGCCAGCATCTTCGCCTTCGCTTACGACGCGCCAGTGTTTTCATTCATGCTCAAAGGCCCATACGTTCAGAAGACGTATCCAACCACCCTTCAGGACATCTCTGATCTGCTGGTGGCGGGCCTTGCTCGTGCCGGTATTGGTCGTAACGGCCGACCAGTCGTGTTTGTCGCGCACTCCCTTGGTGGCCTCATTGTAAAGTCAGCCATCCTCAAAGACCACGACCTCCAGAGCTCCACAAAGGCGATATGTTTTTATGCAACTCCTCATGGTGGCTCCCCTCTCGCATTGAGGAGTGAGCGGATCATACTGTCTATGCTATTCCCCGAGTTTGTACGAGAGCTCTCCCCCAACAGTGAATGGCTTAGCCAACTGAACGATAACTTCGCCAAGCAAGACTGGGATCAAGTCGATATCCTTTCTATTGCGGAATCCGCCGTCACTTCTGTCGGCGGTGGTGTGAAGGTCCGCATGGTCCCACGTGAGAGCGCCTCTCTTATACGCATGGGGGAGTTCGTGGACGCGCCACCGGGAGTCGACCACATTGGAGTTTGCAAGGTTAACGCGTCTGACTTGGTCGATGATGTTCGCTTTACGAAATTGGTTGAACTGTTACGTCGTTTCGAACATCGAACGTTCTCCTCAGTTTGAATCATTTTGCTATTGTTCAGTATAGCATTTTGTGACATTTGCGTTGCACTGACGTATATGTGTAGTTTCACATCCACATTGATGATAGTAGTGTTATAACTCAATACTCCATTACACCCAAGGAACATACACTTAGTGATAGCTTATAGATCGCCACGGTGGCATTACTCCCCTCAGGGCCTTCATCTCATCTCTGGCGGAGACGGAGTCTGATGCACCAAGTCTTAGGCTGGGTTGGTCGTACTTTACGACCAAGCCAACCTAGGGCTCGATACAAACTGAGATTACACAATTCTCACTTTTGGGTTTACGACATCTCTTGCTGCTAGTAACAGTAGCGACTGACGATCACCCCATATGGCAACGTGTAATGTGTAACTGCTATTCCTATGACAGAAAAGCGGGTTCGCCGAACTGAAGTAAGCCTTTCTTGTGCCGAGTCCTTAGTGGGGGATTACTCGAGGTAATTCACGAGTGTCTTACGAATCGTAAGTTACTTCAGAAAGTGTCCACAGCAGTAGGAGTCATAAACGTTGAAACACGTGTATCAACAACTCGATTCTCTGGCACTCGTGATAGCTTTCTATTCAATGTACCGATGATAATGGATAATAATAATGGACATGGTTATGCAACTTCGAGGTGGCTGCAATGATAGTAAACGTTCCCTCGAGAATTCACTTGCGAGGTGGTGCCATCACCGTGATGGCGTGCGAGGCGATAGGGAGGATTTCCTGACAGCATCTGGTCGCAAGGGAAGGCCAGAGCGCTCCTCACCGTTTGCCAGCGATCGAGTCAATTTGTTGTTGGTCGGCGGTCCAGTCTAACTCATCAAAAAGGAAGTCCAAATCGCCTTCATTTTCGACTAGAGTCTGTCATCATCAATGAGCAGCATCATCCACACGGTCGTTCACCTCGTCAGGGAGGCCCTCGGCATCCTCGGGCGAGCCACTGATCGTGCTCTGTCTCTTCTGTTGGCGGCTCGCCTGCAGCTTATCACGATGCCTAGCATACTCTCGACGGACCTGAAACGTCTCCAAAACGATCGGATATTCAACCGCTGATGATCGACCTGCTGAAGAACAGTTTCCTTCCATCGTTTGAACTCCTCCTCGTATTCCTGAGACGGGATCATAAAAGCCACTAATGAGGGAGTGGCCAACCACCTGCACTATGCGTTCGGCTTTGTCCTCTGCTCTAGCCCGGGCATCACACTGGGCCGTCAACTCCCGTGCATGGAGGGTATCCCGCAGCTCGAGAGCAGCTAACATGGACACTACTCCATCGTAATAGCAACAACATCGAGTTACCTCTCGCCTTGTTGAGCATGGCCAAGGCCCTCGACAGAGCCGACTCATATTCCTCCAGATCGAAGTTGTAGGTCGCAGGAGTACCATCTGAATCTGGAGGGCTGTCCGGACCAAACCCGACAAGGGCGTTAATTTCGTATCTGCGCGAACTGGGCAGCGGCAGAGGGGATAGTAGCGATGCCCACAATAGGACAGGCCTCAGCTCAGCTGCTGTATGGCCGAATGCGGTGGGGTCGTCTAACAGCTCTAGAACTTCGTTGCACATGTTACAGAAGGCGTATCTTTCAAGAGCGCTACCTTCGCGGTACAGAGCTGCTGCTTACCTCGCAGGGGCCGGCGGATGTTTCTTAAGCCGACTTGAAGTGGTCAAGTCAGCACCGACGAGTTCCGTCCAGAGCCTCTTGAGGCCCTTGCCTGACCAGTTGTAAGAGGCGGCCTCAAGTGAGGGACTTTCCTGTTACCAGAGAAGTAGGAAGAGCCTCGACTATCCGTGTGGTCTGAAGAGGTACTACTGAGCTGTTGGACCTACCACACCAATCTGAACTAATCGACCATTGGTGTAGGTACCTCCATACGACAGGAAAGCTCATCGTTCCTAGCCTTCATTGTGGCCAGTTCGACCGCCTGGTCCACAACTTTACTCTGCAGAATCACCACTTCAGCGGCCTGATGATCCCACAGGTCGCCTTGCTCAGTGGTTTAGGAATCGAGTACAGTGTTGGATATTTGAGCTTCAGCCTGCTCTCGATACTCATAGAGCTCTCGAGAGACAGCATTCAGTTGAGCTTGGAGTTGCTCCTGAGAACTATTCTTAGTGCAGATTCATTCCGTTTGGGATATTCACAGTTTTAGTCCGATCGATCACCGCTGTCTCCTCTGCTTTCTTAGCGTGTTGTCGCCAGTCTGCCGACACCTGATCGTCGCCAGTCAGTAGTAGTAGTGTATAATAAATACTCACTTGCTTCAGCTTAGCTACCTCCTCTCCTCGATGCATGAGCTGTGCATGAAGACTATCCCGTTCCCTCCCGAGCTGTTGTACTCGACCCCTACACTCCTCCTGAAGAGCCGATGAGGCAACAGCCAGTGCGGGGAAAGTCAACCACATATGTTCGTGGCAATATGAAATACTCTGAGGGAATTTAGAAAAATTATTGTTGGTTTCTGTACACTTCTACTCGAATTCGTATGTTAACTGCTGAGCTCAGCTGAGGAAAGTGAGCACAAACTCCTCCAACACACCTCAAGGTCCGCGAGCCTCCTCTCGATCACACTATCATCCGATGCTTCTTCTGGAGTATTACGCCGATCATCGTAGTCGATTCCCACGCGTGTCGCTGGTCCGAATTTGAACTTCTCTGCTGAGGCTGGCTGCCACCTTGGACGTTGGGTTTCTAGTAGCCTCTCTAACTCGCATATTATGCATTGGGTGTAGGAGCAAGTGCCACAACGATGAGCTATGATGGAATCATCGTTGAAGAACGTCGCTACCTGAGACCAGTTCATAGGGCCTCTGAGAAGTAGTGTTGTTTTACGACCCATCCGAGGCTGCATACAGTGGAGTTTTATCCGTGATGAAAAACACTCATGAAAAACATATTTCACATTTCACTTGGCGAAAAAAATACGTCGTATAATTTACATGGAGTATTATAACACTTCACGTTAAAGAGATCAATTGTCAAGTATTCTCCACAGAGTAGTATGAAATCGTCACTATGCACGACAAATAAACTGTTTTCGGCAGATACACTCCGACAGCAGAGACTGCTCCATCACACTGTATGCAATAACAACATTTAAGGTAGGGTTCTACACCTCATGTAGGAGCTTCCAATACGCGTTTACCTCAGATAGTAGTATTCCGCATTCACTACAACTGATGCTGTCGAGCTGATCAGTTGCTTCTGCAGGACTTAGTTGGTGTAGGGTCTATAGCAATAATTCTCCAGACTATTAATATGGCGATTACTTCATCATTATCATCACCGCTACACGAAGGACAATATACGACTCCGATCGGCCGGCCTCTGGTTAGTGAAAGTTTCGGCCTGCTACAACAGAACTCGAGAGACCTATCTCTAGAGGGGTACTCACAGTTCACACCCCATCGTGTGCTGTTGAGGCCCCCCTTCTGACGAGCCTGATGAAGCTTCTAAGACAAAACAGGTGTAAGCCTCTGTTGTTGAGGTCTGCACTTCTCACTTGATCTTATATGAGGGCTCGTCGAGGAAGCAGGTGATCCACCACCCTTCCACTGCTGGAACGGAGCTAAGAAAATATCACCATAACATAGTAAACCACGAATCGATTCGGCCCACGAGGTGCATCAGCCCTCTGATCCAGCATCTTGTCGTAGAAGGTACTATCAGCATACCTACAAAACTAGAGTGATCGCCATCCGGGAAGCGTCGAGGGCTCACCTATTCCTCGGACTGTTGGTCCACACCTGGCCCTCGCTCTCGGCTTTATGACGAACTCTCGACAACTTACTTTGCAAATCTTCAGCAACTTTCATCGACGCTTTCCGAGGAAGACTTTTCTCCTTGGAATCGTCATCAGTTGGTCTCATTAACTGTTTAAACGGTTGAGTTAAAACGTTCCGAGACCGATACTCATATAAACGTTTACTAACACAAGCATTCATCTTCACAAACACACTACTATCATTAAAATCACAGATGAGCTCAATGTCCGACCACATTATCATGCTGCCCAGAAGCAATAGCAATCACTTGATCTATCGAATCTTGACCAACACCTGAGCAGCGAGTGAGGTATAACAACTAAGGTTAAATTCGTCACACTTACCCAACTCCTTCAAGGTGTTGGTGAGGTTCTCAACAACAGCATCGAACTGTAATTCGGTGATGTTGTAGCCCTCATGAGCTGCTCTCATACTACACAAGATAGAGCTCATTCACACACAGGGAGCAGTGGCCACGCACCTACGGCCAGTGTAGTTATTGGGACCACCAAATGCGTATGTTAGGAAGTTTCTCTGGTGATCTTTAAGCTTGCTCATATCAGTCTTAGCAAAAACGTTCTTGATGCGCTCATCCGAGAGGTTCTTCTTATAAAACCTGAAGTAATAATCATCCAACACACTTGAGGGTAACTTACAATTCAACTGCGGCATCAACAGCAGGGGCGCCACCAATCGTCTCGTAGAGGGAAGACATCGTACGAATGACTAATACTAGACGATCAAAGAAAATACGATTGTTCCTTCACAGAGTGGTGCAAAGAAGTACCCTGATAATTTCTCGGTGAATATCACGCAAACACAGATTTCATTTTGAAGCACTCGGTGATCTCTTTAATAGGTGTTGTGAATGATGAGGTGCTCACATGAATATCCTAGCATTCTCCTCCATATCAGGTTTATATGTATCGTCATAACTCGTCAAGTTTGTGAGTGATTCAATTATCATGATTATCAAGCGTTCGCTGAGTACTTCAAAATGGCTGATTTTTCTAATATTCACATGTGCTGAGGGGTCACCCTATATTCTATACAATACAACTTCATCACAAGGCAGATCCTATCAATCATACCCGTCAAAATAGTGCTCGCTTTCCTCGACTCGGAAGTTTACTTATAAATTCGGTCGCGGAAACCAATGAGAATCTCCCCAAATTCCCATTTTGTCCATGTGCACATTTTCCCACAGAGTAACATCATCACATAACAATACACTACTTCACAAGGAGACACTCATCTGTTCAATCTAATAGTAGTTATACTTTTTCAAGTTTCCACTGAAGATCATATACTCCAACAGAAGCCTCATTATCAGCATCATATTCACACCAGTCATCACTAAGATCGATATCATTGAATAAAGTACCTGTACACGAAATTGATGACCGTCGATAAGCCACGTACAAACCTCCAACGCTTCTGCCTTGGTACCCCCTCTCAGGGTGCCACTTGGTGATCTCACAACCACGACATTCGAATGCTATTATAGGTACCTAGCCAGAGAGAGAGGGTATGGCAAGCGTGAAGTGCTCGAGGTGTGGTACCCATTTGCCACTATTCTCAGCAGTATATTTAGCTTCGATGCGCATCCTCTTAACAGCTGTTTGGGTGACAGTGGCCTCTTTCTTTACCTCTTTGAAGTGTAACACCAAATTCGTCATTCCTCGAGAACCACTCATCTGAAACAATAAGGCTGCCTCGAAGGTCAACTCCTTATAACGTATTCTGCTCAGAATCAATATTGCAATATAATATATCTTTCCTCAGCTGAACTCGGAAGTTTCCTCACTGAATTCGGGTAGGAGTGTACAGAAGCCAACAAGGAAATTTCCAAATTTTCTTTCATATTGTCACCACCACATGTAGTTGACCATATGCATATTCTCCCACATTACCTGTTCCTCACGCATGCAGTTCAAAATTACTCGTTCCCTTACTTCATCAGTGTTAGTGCCAGCAACATCTATGCACCAATCATGACTAGGAGATGCTGAGATCTGCGATAAGCCATCTAGCTTGGCATTCATATACAGTACTTGAACAACCATTGCTATAACAATAGAGCTGTCACCACAGACACCTCAGCATGCTGTACTCAACCACGTATTCAGAGATTCATCAACCTCGCCCTCCCGACAGTTTTGGTATAGCACTCAGCAATACATGACTAAGAAAAAGTATCTCTCATTTCAAACGAGTTGAGTTAACTATGTCGACTGAGTCGACATAGTCGACTCGACTCCCAAAGAAGAGTATACCGCTGATCACCAAGGTTGGCATCAAGGATGAACTACTCATGGTGAAGGGCTCTTCTATATGATGATCAGCTTGAGTGTACACCTTTTCAGCGCCTTTTTGGAGAATAGTAACTTCCACTTTGAGGAGGCTAGTGGTCCAATTGAAGAATTCATAAATTTGAAATTATTTTCACTATAGTTTTGAAATTGACAACTTCTTAGAAAATTGTATTCAAATTGGAGTTCCTTAATTCTTCTGCGATCCAAATTGGAATTATCAAACGAGAATCTTTAATTCTATCGCACTTCCTGTAAAAGTTAATATTCTCCAAATAGGCGTTGAACTTTTCAGCTTGAAAAGGTGTAGACTCGAGTCATGCGGCCCTGGCGCGAAAAGGGGCGCGTTTAAACACCGGGGAGAATTGCGTCACAAAAACCGTTTCGGTGAGGATGCTATGTGCATCACATGCAAGTTTCTCCTTCATAGGTATTTTCAGGCAGTTGCTCGACTTGCACACACTGCGGAGTAGTGCATCGTCCGCTTCATGTTGGCACAAGTGTTCCCCTTTTTGTACGCCGTACGAGTGGGATTTTAGATACGGTCTGTTATTAGGTCGTGTATAAATCCATAACTGTTATTTCTTGCTTTCTTAGTCGACCACGCGAAAGTTCCGTATGTAAGCTCAACAAAAACCAAATCCTGGAAGTCCTCTTGGAATTCAGGATAGGTATTTTGAACAGATTGGCATGTAATCCGTAGTCAATGTTGTTACTGATGAGAACACATCGTGTGTTAATTTACCATTTTCACCTCGATTACAGCATATTGAAAAAGATGAATGTCAGAGGTTGACTAGTATCATCCCGAGGGGATGAACTACTGTCATCATCACCACCACAGTCAAATTACCGTTCAATTCTGTCGAGGATCTCAGGAGATAAGATAGCTTAACTAATCCGGGACTTCACGTTGAACGGCTCCAACAGTTTCATGTCGAACTAAGTATCAAAATAACGAAATAATCACCTATTGATTCCCATGGGTGTATATAGCTTGGGGTCCTTATTAATCTCACATTATTATCGCAAATCCTCTTCCACTTACGATAATCGTTCGATGTTTTGGTCGGTGCAAAAACGTTACAGTAATACCCGTAAAAAGTCTACTACTGGTCGGGGCATAATCACGTACTGGAAGTAGCAGATTATCGTGTTGCAGCTCTATAGTCGTGACTATTCAAGCGCAGATTATCAGGTGACGACTATTGATTTTACTGTTCTTCTCGAGGCCACTACGGACTACACAAGCACTCAACGTCATGAGCGTGATATGAGTAATCTGTCGAGCAGTGAACGTCTTGTCAAGAACTTCTTCGCCACCGGGTCTCTTAAGCAGGTATAGGAATACGGCCACGTGACGGATTCGTCCCCAACGGTTACGTTGTCACCCCGCGGTCAACTCATGCCAACGCTTTCGCGACGAACATGGAAGGACCTTGCCGAAACCACGTGATTTTGTAAGCAATGCTCATGTCACGCTACCAGCTGGAGGTTTACGGCTAGTAACGGCCTTGTGAGCTCACTAGCGTAACCAGGGTGCGATATCAAGTGCTTCTGACACCGAACTGGATTTCTCTGAAGACCCCAGTTCGGTGTCAGAAACACTAAGAAGGTCTTGGAGGTCTTGAAGGTCCATGGAGTTGTATAACTACTTAGTCCCACTGAACGATGTCCCCATGCATGATTAGAAGGAACCAGAATCTATGGTCGATGATGTAATGGTAAAATAGTCCGCATCAGCGATAACAAGTGTCTCTCTGTTCATGCTGCACTGGACTGGATCTTAGAATGTTTGGCCTAGTGTTGCCTCCTCAGGGGAGAAGTGACAACGACGAACTTGGATGAGGTCTTGGCCATCACCAATGTGTAACATCATTAAAACGTGCAAGCCTTGCTCATGTTGCTATAATACATGTAAGGGCTGTTACGTTACGACCGCATCCATTCTGTAAGGGCATGCCTTTCTGGTATTATCACCTTTATTGGAATAATGAAATGCCCCTTTCTCCGATTTGCCGAATGCCCCCCTGGCAGGCCGCCTTAATGCCTTCTGCTCCAGCGTCCCATACTGAGAACACTACAAGCAGCGTCCTCGGAAGTATAAATCCAAACATGATGCTTCACGAGTTTGAGCTCCAAAGCGAGTCGTTCTCCAGCCTAATCGTCCCACGTTCGAGTCGGAATGGTGTCAACCGATCTACGGCCTCGTCCGAACATCCTTTCTCCCCCTTATGCTCAATGATTTGCACATGAGAGCGGCATGACAAGGCTTGTCAGATGAAGCTCCTACTCGTGCATCTTCCCCTCTTCACTTGAGCATACCAATCGATATGAGGGACCCGATTTCACGGACGGGTTGGACTCTAAGCTCATGAATCACCACTTTGAAATTTGTCTTAATACCACCACTTGGTAGGAAATCACACGATATGAGATTATCGTAACAGTCCTCTTCAACAAAGACATTATGGTCTTCCTCACACCATTCACTAGGGACTCCAGAGGCCATTATAGCCGCGACGGTACTCACAAGGATAGCGAATCCAAACATGAAGGAATAATAACAAGCAACTATGAACCAAGATGAATAAGCTTACAATCACAATCTAAAATTAACCACACCACAATACTCTGATTACCAACAGGTCACAACTTATATACAGCTAGTACGAGCTAAAGGAAGACAGGAAAGATTCTGGTGATGTTGGAAGACACGCTGACACACAATTCCTCCCTAACAAAACTATATCAGTACAGTAAGGAGAGAAAATAATGGAAAGTCACCTCAAACATCTGTGGTTGCCGCCTTTCTGCCAAGCGTCTTGCGGAGGCCTTTAGTGGACTGAGGGGACACTTGAATGGAATATTCTCATAAGAGAATGTCAGGAATGAAGTGATAAGATACTGTCGACTGCATCACAAGTCGATCACTTCCTTCACTGGCTTCCGTTGGACAGCATTCCTACCAAGAGAGCCCGGAATAGCTTGCGAATCCTTTAATGGATTATATACACCAATGATGGGATCGATATGAGGGACCCGATTTCACGGACGGGTCGGACTTTCAAGCCAAGCTCGTGAATCACTACTTTGAAATTTGTCGCTTCAAAGCAAGGCACTTCTATAACGAAGATTTGCGATCATATCTGATTGTCTTGCTGACCCGAAGCGACTCGTTTGATCTCAATATATCTATTCAGTTTCGTGACTCCATCACTAGAACGACCCCCAGCTGGGACATCCTCTTCAATAATCTTTAGGAAGGGGTGTACCAGCTTTGAGACGATGTAATTCCAAATGATAGAAGTTTCCCGTAAGAGCGTCAAAAACCTTCACTTGATCAACACAACAAGAAAGAAGATAAACGGCACACGAATGGCAATTCATCAGAAGGGCAGGTAAAACAGAAAGAACACACTTGGCAGAGAAATGACTAGAATACTTCACCTGAGTATTAGTATATTAAATCACCATTAAGCTTGAATATCACAAGAGCATGGGATATTAGTACCCGAGCATACTGATGGATTAGACCAGTATTTACAGTAGCTACCACTGTACTGGGAACAACAGAAGTTGTCACCATTCGCGCAGCTAAACGGAGTTGTTGAAGGTGCAGCTGAGGTACTCGTCATCGATCCACTTGTGGTAGTGGTTATAACCTCATCACATGAGCATTCGATATTGGAGCCAGAGCAGACCCGTGGAACTTCCCAGTATTTACAGTAGCTACCGGGTATGTATGAACCGCACTGCTCATCACCGATGACACAGTCGATCGGCTCACAAGCTGTAGTAGTAGCAGGACTGGTTGTAGTAGCAGCAGGAGTGGTTGTAGTAGTAGCAGCAGCAGTGGTTGTAGTGGGACAAGTAAAGGAAGCCGGGAAGGGCCATACGACGAACCTATCGGGATTCGCATTATAATCCCAAATTGTGGTACCCCAATTGAAACCAAATCGGAGGCATCCATCGTCAGCATTAACAAACTGGTCAATACCATGACCGGTGCCGCAGCCTCCTGCAAGTAATGTGGCTTCTCCATCGGGAGTGTTGACGCAATGAACATAAACAGCGGCATCACCGTATCGATAGATGATACTGTCAGGGTAAACATCATACAACCAGTGAACGACATCGAAACCGAAACGTCCATTAATGGTGAAGTTGAACTTGAACACTCTCGTAGGACTTGAAGGCTCCCACTTCACAATACGATACTCCTCACCGGTGACAAGTTGAGAGATGTAGAGATAACCTTGCATAGATCTCACACTTTGGGGATGATACAAATGCATATCATCATCAATTGCCTTACCATCAGCATTACCAGCGACGAGTTTTTTCGACGAAGTTTCAACACCATCCGATATCGGATCCCATTCATAGACCTGATTGTTCTTGCTATCAACAGCGTACAAGTAAGGATGATCATCATCCTGATTCCAACTAACTGATGTCCAAGTATGTTCACCACTCACAGGCTCCAAAACCTTGTACTCACCTAAACCAATATCACTGGTCTCGGGAGTTCCATAGAGTCTGATCTCGTTGTCAACAATAGCCCAAATATACATCGGGGCATAGCTATCGTGTTTGTAATCAGTAGAAGCAGCAGCGATTGAGTCGGCCTTAGCATTGATCATCACCTCCCCCGTAGGAACACCATTGAGGGTAGTAGTAGTCCGGAATACCGAGTAATCACCAGTGCTCAGGTTTTTAGCAGATATGAGGAAATCCCAATAACCTTTCATCGTCATATCATAGTCAACCATCTTAATACCACCACTTGGTAGGAAATCACACGAGATGAGATTATCGTAACAGTCCTCTTCAACAAAGACATTATGGTCTTCCTCACACCATCCACTAGGGACTCCAGAGGCCATTATAGCGGCGACGGTACTCACAAGAATAGCGAATCCAAACATAAAGGAATAATAACAAGCAACTACGAACCAAGATGAATAAGCTTAGAATCACAATCTAAAATTAACCACACCACAATACTCTGATTACCAACAGGTCACAACTTATATACAGCTAGTACGAGCTAAAGGAAGACAAGGAAGATTCTGGTGATGTTGAAAGAGACAGTGTCCCACAATTCCTCCCTAACAAAACTATATCAATACAGGGAGGAGAGAAAATAATGGAAAGTCACCTAAAACATGTGTGGTTGCCGCCTTTCTGCCAAACGTCTTGCGGAGGCCTTTGGCGGACTGAGGGGCACTTGAATGGAATATTCTCATACGAGAATGTCAGGAATGAAGTAATAAGATACTGTCGACTGCATCACAAGTCGATCACTTCCTTCACCGGCTTCCGTTGGACAGCATTCCCACCAAGAGAGCCCGGAATAGCTTGCGAATCCTTTAATGGATTATATACACCAATGATGGGATCGATATGAGGGACCCGACTTCACGCACGGGTTGGACTCTCAAGCCAAGCTCGTGAATCACTACTTTGAAATTTGTCGCTTTAAAGCAAAGCACTTCTACGACGAAGATTTGCGATCATATCTGATTGTCTTGCTGACCCGAAGCGACTCGTTTGATCTCAATATATCTATTCAGTTTCGTGACTCCATCACTAGAACGACCCCCAGCTGGGACATCCTCTTCAATAATCTTTAGGAAGGGGTGTACCAGCTTTGAGACGAAGTAATTCCAAATGATAGAAGTTTCCCGTAAGAGCGTCAAAAACCTTCACTTGATCAACACAACAAGAAAGAAGATAAACGGCACACGAATGGCAAATCATCAGAAGGGCAGGTAAAACAGAAAGAGCACACTTGGCAGAGAAATGACTAGAATACTTCACCTGAGTATTAGTATATTAAATCACCATTAAGCTTGAATATCACAAGAGCATGGGATATTAGTACCCGAGCATACTGATGGCTTAGACCAGTATTTACAGTAGCTACCACTGTACTGGGAACAACAGAAGTTGTCACCATTCGCGCAGCTAAACGGAGTTGTCGAAGGTGCAGCGGAGGTACTCGTCATCGATCCACTTGTGGTAGTGGTTATAACCTCATCACATGAGCATTCGATATTGGAGCCAGAGCAGATCCGTGGAACTTCCCAGTATTTACAGTAGCTACCGGGTATGTATGAGCCACACTGCTCATCACCGATGATACAGTCGACCGGCTCACAAGCTGTAGTAGTAGCAGGAGTAGTGGTTGTAGTAGTAGCAGGAGTGGTTGTAGTAGCAGCAGCAGTGGTTGTAGTGGGACAAGTAAAGGAAGCCGGGAAAGGCCATACGACGAACCTATCGGGATTCGCATTATAATCCCAAATTGTGGTACCCCAATTGAAACTAAATCGGAGGCATCCATCGTCAGCATTAACAAACTGGTCAATACCGTGACCGGCGCCGCAGCCTCCTGCAAGTAATGTGGCTTCTCCATCGGGGGTGTTGACACAATGAACATAAACAGCGGCATCACCGTATCGATAGATGATACTGTCAGGGTAAACATCATACAACCAGTGAACGACATCGAAACCAAAACGTCCATTAATGGTGAAGTTGAACTTGAACACTCTCGTAGGACTTGAAGGCTCCCACTTCACAATACGATACTCCTCACCAGTGACAAGTTGAGAGATGTAGAGATAACCTTGCATAGATCTCACACTTTGGGGATGATACAAATGCATATCATCATCAATCGCCTTACCATCAGCATTACCAGCGACGAGTTTTTTCGACGAAGTTTCAACACCATCCGATATCGGATCCCATTCATAGACCTGATTGTTCTTGCTATCAACAGCGTACAAATAGGGATGATCATCATTCTGATTCCAACTAACTGATGTCCAAGTATGTTCACCACTCGCAGGCTCCAAAACCTTGTACTCACCTAAACCAATATCACTGGTCTCGGGAGTTCCATAGAGTCTGATCTCGTTGTCAACAATAGCCCAAATATACATCGGGGCATAGCTATCGTGTTTGTAATCAGTAGATGCAGCAGCGATTGAGTCGGCCTTAGCATTGATCATCACCTCCCCCGTAGGAACACCATTGAGGGTAGTAGTAGTCCGGAATACCGAGTAATCACCAGTGCTCAGGTTTTGAGCAGATATGAGGAAATCCCAATAACCTTTCATCGTCATATCATAGTCAACCATCTTAATACCACCACTTGGTAGAAAATCACACGAGATGAGATTATCGTAACAGTCCTCTTCAACAAAGACATTATGGTCTTCCTCACACCATCCACTAGGGACTCCAGAGGCCATTATAGCGGCGACGGTACTCACAAGAATAGCGAATCCAAACATGAAGGAATAACAACAAGCAACTACGAACCAAGATGAATAAGCTTACAATCGCAATCTAAAAATAACCACACCACAATACTCTGATTGCCAACAGGTCACAACTTATATACAGCTAGTACGAGCTAAAGGGAGACAGGAAAGATTCTGGTGATGTTGGAAGACACGCTGACACACAATTCCTCCCTAACAAAACTATATCAATATCGTGAGCAGAGAAAATGATGGAAAGTCACCTCAAACATCTGTGGTTGCCGCCTTTCTGCCAAGCGTCTTGCGGAGGCCTTTGGCGGACTGAGGGGACACTTGAATGGAATATTCTCATAAGAGAATGTCAGGAATGAAGTAATAAGATACTGTCGACTGCATCACGAGTCTATCACTTTCTTTACCGGCTTCCGTTGGACAGCATTTCCACCAAGAGAGCCCGGAATAGCTTGCGAATCCTTTAATGGGCTATATACACCGATAATGGGATTGGCACTGAATACCTGTCAGGCCTCCTTTCGCTCATCCGAGAAATATATTTGCTTTAGAATTGCCCACCTTGTTATAATTTTGCTCGCGATTTATCAGTTCTAGTTTATAGACCTTCATACGTTCCTTCAGATCCTCGTAAGCATGGTTCATCTGTCTCAACTCCTTTTCGAGATGATCTATCTTTATAACATCTTCCTGTGAGCACACATCATAACTGCCTAGACAGGCATTCAATGCAAATCGTGATAAGAACACTGCAGAAGATGCGACTCCAATGCATTACGTCACGACTTGGTCGGTTCTCATACATCCGGATGAGTTCTCCTATTCTATTATCCAGTCCGATGATTTTCTCTGTGTAACCTTCTTCGACTTGCTGTGCGAGTTTATCTCGGTCTTCAATCACTTGCTTATGCCTAAGTACGGGTAAAAAGAGGACGTATTTTGACAGGAGACTCAGTTCCTTAGTCAAGAGGGCAAAGTTCGTCCGGCGAAGCGTTTCGTAGATTCCCTCGAGAGTCTTCACAAAAACGAACAGAGCTCAGATTCAATACTCATTCGTCAAGGCTCGGATCTCCCCTCTCTGTCTCTCTGAGGCCAGTTGCATTTTCTGGCGATGTTCTTCGACTTCCCGCTCAAGCTGTTTCCGTAAGATCGCCGTCTCATGAGCCAGCCGCGAGGACAAGTGATCCTATCAAGCTGCAGGATTCAGGGACCCGAGACAAGCTGAGTTTTCCTGTTTTGAGTCTGACCAATGCGAGGTTTTTCTCTGTAATTTCTTGACCTTGTATGTTTATCTTACGGTCCTGTTCGAGCAAAGCGTGCTTGGCCTGGCAAAATGTCGCGCTATAGCTAGGTAATCTCGAACCTAGTCAGCACCTCGTCCAGTTTGCGGTTGAGTTCATCCTCCTTCTTCTTCTTGGATTCCTGTGCTTCCTCGACGCGACTTTCCAGAGTCCTTCGAGCCTTCTGCATCTCATCCCGCAGAGTTTTCGCCTCTGTCTGATGCTCGGCCTTCAAGCATCGTACAGCTGCCTCATGCCGCGCTTGTTTCTGTTCCTGATGATGTGCTGTGATGATGGCAACGACATGATCTCGCATGAATTAACAAGGAGACGATAGTCCCATACCACTCCTTTACCAATTCCCGGCTGAATCGAGCCCTGTCAGCGGCACGAGCTTCTTCCCACTTTTTTGTCACTCCGTCTCGGGTCTCCTCTAGTTTTTGCCTGAAATGGGAAGAACACGTATCATCCCGTATGATTCTTGTCTTGCGCGAGATGGCATATCTGCACCACCACGTGGCATAGGCATCCCTGCAATATGGCATCATTGCCCCAACAGGGTACAGCCGCCCCACCACGTGGCATAACCATCCCTGCAATATGGCATTATTGCACTCAATCGCTTGCCAAAATCGACCCACGACATGGCATAGTCGCCCCATGCTGTGGCATGGTCGCGCTATGGGGCGACATACGCGCCCCCACGACGTGGCATGGTCCTCTACGAGATGATATACCCGCTCCAGTGGAGCGGCTCCACTACGTGACGAAGTCGCCCCACAACATGGCATACCCACCCCACGACATGGCATAGTCGCCCCATGACATGGCATACCCACCCCACGACA